TTTTTCGGGACTCAAAAGGAGGTTCAGCAACTTTACAAGGCGAACATCGAAATGAAGGTTGACTCGTTCACTAACAACTGAAAATTAAAGGCGGCAACACTATCAGTACACTTGCCATCCTACTTCGAACAAGGCCTAGGGTCGATTAAGTTGAGAGCAATGACATATCTCTCGAAGGGCGACCAATTTGGAGGAAAATTAGAAAAATATAATAAAAGAAACTAATTCGCCTTTACGTTTGCGGCAAACATTCATCATACAACATATTGTGTCACGTACTCATAAAGGTTGTCACAAGGTGGCACACCAGTCGAGTAAACGTCCACATAAGGGAATCCTCCCTCCCCATTTACGCATTTTCATCATGACATTACATCATGCCATATCACGCCGCATTTTTCACATCTATCTAGCAATATGATACAAAAGCATTACATATCAATGTTAAGCCTATCGGATACTTACGAAGTCCTTTAGGCCGTGTGACTACTCGTTATCGATTTTTGTACCAAACCAGCTAGTTGACTATCAAAGCTATTATATGTCACAATGTGAATAAACCAGCACTCTATATCGCTATACCACAAAGGGAAACCAAAATCTCAATACCTCACGGGAGCTGAGGAGCACCCCTACCAAATCAATACCTCACGGGAGCTGAGGAGCGCCCCTACCAAATCAATACCTCACGGGAGCTGAGGAGCGCCCCTACCAAATCAATACCTCACGGGAGCTGAGGAGCACCCCTACCAAATCAATACCTCACGGGAGCTGAGGAGCACCCCTACCAAATCGATACCTCACGGGAGCTGAGGAGCACCCCTACCAAATCAATACCTCACGGGAGCTGAGGAGCATCCCTATCAAACTAATACCTCACAGGAGTTGGCGAGCCCCTCTATCAGTCAACAACGCACGGGAGCTGAGGAGCACCCCTACCAAGTCAATACCTCACGGGAGCTGAAGAGCGCCCCTACTATTTAATACCTCACGAGAGCTGAGAAGCACCCCTACTAAATCAATACCTCACGGGAGCTGAGGAGCGCCCCAACCAATCAAAACCTCACAGGAGCTGGCGAGCCCCTCTATCATTCAATAACGCATAAGAGATAACGAGCGCCCCTACCAGTAAATATCTAACTGGAGCTGGCAAGCGTTAAATAAATGTAGCAGAAGATGATTGATAGGCATCAGAGGAAACCGTCGACGCTGTCGAGCATCAAAGAAATACAATAAAGTGAATATTAGAAAATTACTCGCGTTGGCGAACGCTATATAAAAACGTAAATTTTCCATCAGCAGCAAAGATGAACAAAGAAACAGAAGTTCTCGCTATCGGAAATCTTATACAAACGCACTAAATCATTCGCTATCCTAACATCATCCTCAAAACATATCCTATTTCAAGGACCCTAACACAACCATCATGATACTTTTAGAAAATGTGGTGTCCTTATGAGCACTTTGTATAACTCTTTATACAAAGAGATATACAAAGGGGGGCAACTGTAGACACCACATTTTGTCCGGAGCAACTATCCTACTCAAAATTCGGAAGAATATTCCATGTAAAATTAGAAAAGAAAACCCAAGTGAAAGTTTAGATAAGGTTGGTTGAGATTAGCGGTGGCGAATCAATAAATACCAACGTTTTCCAAGTCTTTCTTTCTATTCATTTCGAATATTTGTACTAGGTAGGATTAGCAGTGGCTAATGGCTACCAAATTCGCTTTATTTAGAATAGCAATAGTATGCCGTCACGACTTATACCGGTATTATTGTTAACGATTGGTGATATAGGTCTAGAAATTGGTTGAATGGGGTATTGGTCACGATTCATAACTAAGAATAATTTACTTAGAAGTTGGGATATTGGTCACGATTGTAGTTAACGAATTGGTTTGAAATAATCAATTGAATGATTGAGTAATACATACAATGATCATCTAATTCTAAAGGCAAGGACATAAATAAACAAATGTGTAATTACATATTACAATCCGTGACATTTAAGATACACCTTGTAATTATACAATTAAAAAAAATAAAAAAAAATAAAAATTCTGCTTTTGGGCACCAATCAGAATTGGGGGCTTAGCCAATTAAGGCTGTTTGGACCCCCATTGATCATCATTTTGGGCCGGAAACGGACTAGGGACCTGCAAACAAAAAAAAGAAAATGTTAGAAGAGCAACCTAAAATAAAAACCCACAACCCAGGCCCATATTCAGGCCCAATTGACTCTGGTCAACCCTGGTCAACCTGGTCAACCTGGGTCAACCCAATCAAGTATGGTCAGCCCGGGCCAACTCTGGTCAACCCCGTCAACCAAACCCATCATTCTTATCTAAAAGAGCAGCAGAGTAGCAGAGCAGCAGAACAGCAGAGTCTCTGCCAAATCTAAAAAAGAAGATTTCGGCCACCTCCTCCAAGAACCAATCCCAAATTGCCAACAACATAAGTGGCTAAGGCTACCACTTCAAGAGCAAAGGAGGAGCAGCCAACACACAGGTATGAACAGTAAAAGGCAGCCATATATAAGGAGCTGTTTTACCCCCAAACAGGGGGGGAGGACCAACAACAAAAAACAGACAAAAAGGGAGACAAAGAGCATTAAAGAGCACTAAGCACCAAAAAGACAGAAGCACTAAGGATCCAAAAAGGGCAGGGAGTCAGAAACAGCAACGAGCCATCACCATCAAAATCCACTCAATCACAACACAGGTTGGTATTCTCTACACCCCATTAACCGTACAAGCATCCTAGTTATTTATACATCCATGTAGAAGATCTACTTAACATATGATACTTCTAAGTTTATAATCCATGGCTGAGTTGCTTAAGTTTGTATGTAAAAGGGGGTATTATGAAATCCTGATCTTTGTGATATGTATGTTTCTCTTTACCATTCATTTTTAATTTTTGTTACATACCACAAGAGACCGCTTCCATTTATAGTCAACATACAATAAATTAGCTTAAATTATTCCCTGTTTTTCTAGCAAGCATGATTCAGGTTAAATTGTTAGGTGAACTTAGCAATAATATCAACTAGGCTAACCCGTTTACTCATTCAACACATAAAAAATCCAACAATCTATTCAAAACATAAAAATAGGACCCAAACTAGATTTTTGAGAGAGTATTTTAAAATACCTCATTTGATGGTTGTAAGGGCGCCCTTTTAACTCAATTACCAGATTTGGTAATCACGAAGTTCTCATTTGATTATTATTTTGTATGCTAAATACAATAAAACACTCTCATTAAAAGTCTCATTTGTTACTAATCAGTATTAGCCCTTTTAATCAAGTTGTTTAACCAATCGATAGTCAATAGCAGTAGCTATGATGTCGTATTACTTTTAGGACCATTATAGATTGTCGAATTTTAATAAAGCAAGTTCACCACCATATCCAAAACCAAACATTAAGGCTAAACAAACCTAGGAGGTCTAACAAAATTTACTTTCACAACACCAGAAAGTTCTATAAACAATCATAACGATAATTAAACCACCCATTTTAGGTTTAGAAGGGGTATCACCTAGTTTCCTTCAAATTGAATAAGATCTGCAAAATTAGGAAATCGAGAGTTAGAACCCCAAAAATGATAATAGGTAAAAAACGAGAATAAAAAAATAAAACAAACAACTTACCCCCAAACAAAACCCTCGCCGTCGGTTCTGGCGCTGGCCGCGCCGCCGGCGACCGCCGCTCCTCCCTTCTCTCGGCGGAGGTCCAAATAATAAAAAAAAACATAAACAAAAAAAAACAAAACAAGTTAAATCCCAATCTCATCCATTAAATCCAATGAAAATGGGCATGCATGTAGAAAAGAGCTTACCAGAGGGTAAGATCTCGTCGTCGCCTCTGCTCCAACTAGAAAGAGTAGATCGAGATTATTAGAAAGTAAATCAAGAGTCCCTCCTCGGTTTTGGATCGGTCTCTGAAAGAAAAGCAAGAAATAGGTTTAGAACATAGAAAATCTTAAAATCGAAATCGAAAAATGGTAAAAATCTTACATGCAAGCCAAAAAAAACCTAACCTTTGGAAAACCCTAGTCGTCATCGTCACTGCTGGTGTTGGCAGCGCTCATCCTCAGTCGTCGCCGCCGCCGCCGCTTCTTTTCCCCGTCACCACTCGTTTCCAGAATAAGGAGAAGGGGAGATAGATTAAATATGAAGAAGGCTCATCTCCTTTTCTCGATTTACATGAAGAACGCGAGAAGGAGAAGATGTAGATGGCGGCGTTGTTCGGATGGTTAAGTGATTAGGGTTTTCGTTTCGAGGTAGGGATTAGCGGGAGATAGGGAGGCGAGAGACGAGGGAGGAGAGGGATCGGCGGTTGAGAGGCTAGAAGGAGAGGGAGAGCAGCGCCGGCGGGTTTGATTAGGCTAGGGTTTCGTTTTTTTGTTTCGGGAGAGGAAGAGAGATCGGCCGAGAGAGAGAGAGGGATGAGCGGCCGCCGCTAGCCTTAGAATACGATTAGGGTTTTTTTTTTGGGTCCAAAGAGATGATTTTATACTCACCGGTAAATGTCGATTTTGCCCCTAGGGTTTCTCGCAAATTACATGTCCTGCCACCGCGTTTTCGTGAAATTACTAGGATGCCCTTCCCCCTTCTCTGCATCAAAACGAGAAAAATTAAAAATTTCTCCACCAGCGCGTTTCGAACCCACGTCCTCCGGTTCAAACGCGGGAGTGGTCTGGCGTTTTAGCCAGTTGGGCTGCTGGCCCTCATGCGTCAATATTATAATCCCGTATAGTTTTATTCATTTAAAATCCTTAATACGAAATGAAGAATTGCGGATTAAGTTTATCTCGTTTCTTTCCTAATATATCAAAACTCCTCTTAATAATTACAATTATTATATTATCTTTTTGTAATTTCATAATACCAACTTAAATTTTACTAACAATAAATTTTGATACGAGAACCACGATCAATGGAATGTGGTAATAATTTTATATAAAATTTTCAAAGTCCTAACGAACTACGTGGACTTTGATCCCGTCTTACGGGTACGTAAGCAACCGATAAGGTTCGAGTCCAACTAACCAATTAACTTTATCTTTTACGTCAGTGGACGTATAATTAAATTACAATTAATACGATTTAATTTCTTAAATAGTCCAGTGGGACCCTAAAAATTGAAAAATTTTACTAAAATACACCCAACTCGCATAAAAACTTATCGACTTAAGTAGTACCGATTTAGGGCGTTGTGGGGGTGTTGCTTAACTTCCCCACACGTAACCGTACTCCCGAACCCAGAACTTTATTTTCGCAGACCATGCCTCGGTTCTGACACTAAGGTTAGAGCCGATTTGAAGAGTGTTCGATCCACTCCAAGTAAGATCGATGGCGACTCCCAAAAATGCCGACGCGACGACATTCGGACCCCCCCCGGACGGGACGGTTTCGACACTTCATTTTCCCGATATGCCCTTCATGTTGAGTACAATAGAATCAATTAGGGTTAATTGCATGGTTGGTCACTGACATTACAAAAAGCGTTCATGTTTGGTCACTCGAAATATTTAAATCTATTTTTGGTCACTAACTTTACAAAAACCGTTCATTTATGGTCACTCTCCGTTAGCTGCCGTCCAACGCCGTTAACGGCGTCCGTTAAGTGATGACGTGGCTGGCGGATTCGCCTAATCATCACCTTTTAACCCGAAAATTGACTGACCCGACCCGCCACGTCATTTAAACCCTCCATGTCAGCCAAACCTAACCAAACCAGACCCGACCCTAAATAAAGAACTGACCCGACCCACCAATTAATCTACCCACCTTTGACTAAAACCCTAATCGAAGACAAATCCATCTGCCTCCATCCCGCGCCGCCTTCCTCCCTTTCGTTTTTCTTCCTCTCCAACTCTGATTGCCAATTCGCCGGCAACGAAGGAGGAATGGAGTCCGCATTGAACCATTAAACACAACGAAGGAGTTTCAACACGCCAAATCAATCCATTCCAACGTAGTCACTTTCCTCCCATATCCCATAAAACCCTTTTCCCAAAACACAAATGCAAATCTGAAATCCCTCGCTCCGATCCGTCCGAAAATTAAATTGCAGAGCCATGAAGTTCGGCTTCCAATTCGCCTCCGCCGCCATTACAGCGTTGCTGCTAGTCTTCTCCTCCTTCTCGCCGCCTGTTTCCGGTAGGTTCTTCCCCAACATAACCTCCCTCCCGCGCGATTTACCTCTCAAGCCCAATTTCACCACCGCCTGGGAGTCCTTCCAGAACCTCTCAAGCCCAATTTCACGGGCCAGCTCGACGACCGGACCATCCGCCAAATCGTGCTCCCCAGATGCGGCAACGCCGACATAGTCAACGGATCCATTTCTAAAGGCAAGTGCGTGGCAGGCTCCATTCCTCCTTCGTCGCCGGCGAATTGGTGATCAGAGTTGGAGAGGAAGAAAAACGAAAGGGAGGAAGGCGGCGCGGGATGGAGGCAAATGGATTTGTCTTCGATTAGGGTTTTAGTCAAAGGTGGGTAGATTAATTGGTGGGTCGGGTTAATTCTTTATTTAGGGGGTCGGGTCTGGTTTGGTTAGAGGTTTGGTTAGGTTTGGCTGACATGGAGGATTTAAATGACGTGGCGGATCGGGTCAGTCAATTTTCGGGTTAAAAGGTGATGATTAGGCGAATCCGTCAGCCACGTCATCACTTAACGGACGCCGTTAACGGCGTTGGACGGCAGCTAACGGAGAGTGACCATAAATGAACGGTTTTTGTAAAGTTAGTGACCAAAAATGGATTTAAATATTTCTAGTGACCAAACATGAACGCTTTTTGTAATGTCAGTGACCAACCATGCAATTAACCCGAATCAATTATCAAACAAATTTGTATATATAGGGATGACTGACTGTTAAGGTTTCCGATGTTAAAAATGTTATTTTACTAACTTCAGTGGTTAACCAAGATATAATATTTGATGACCTATCCAACTATAACAGAGTTGCAAAATTTTACAGGACATTTATTATGCAATGCAACCTTCCTCGTTCCATAGTTAAAATGACGAAACTTAAGTTACTCATTGGATAGTTAAATGAGCTAATACTGATAGTGGTCCCTTGTACATTTATAAAGCTAGCTAGCTAAATGAGTCAAGTACATTCATAATATACCTTTTTTCTTTCGATTATAATAAGACTTGTCATGAGTATATATAAAAGATATCGATCATGTTAATCACATCATTTATATTTCTTCTTTCGCCCCTTGTGAACTGAATGGTGTTGAAGTCAATAATTTGCGCACATTGAGAATTAGTTTCTACTCTTCTTGGATGATGTACTTTAACTAGAGAAATAGGTAAACAAATTAAATAAAATTTCTTCCTCTACCCCAGCACAAATAGGAGAATGATTATATTGGTCCAGCTAGCTAGATTAGGGGGGAGTAAAGTAATCAATCGATATGCTGAAATCGCCTACTCCTTAATTAACACAGCTAACTATCACATATATTAATTCTAGCTACACAATCTGAAAATATAATGAATCGGCGTGCAAAGGTTACAATTCAATTAGGTATATATGTGTCATAATATTCTAGACAAAGATTCTGCTCTTTCACGTTCACTATGAATATATTAATTAATCATCACGATCAATAACACCTTATCAATGCTAATTAATGTTCTAGACGAAATAATTAAGAGTTACTATAGATTAATGATAGATAAAATAAGACTGACAATTCCTTAATATAATTGTGGTGGGCTACATTACAATTACATAATCGTAAGGTGGGAATCCATCGAGCAAAGCAATGAAATGTAAGATTCCGTTCAACGGTGGTCAACACTGCTACTACTCTATTCAAAGAAGGAAAGCATTGGAGAAATTAAAGACACAATTTCCCAATCATGCAGTCACACGTAAGATGATGGTCTTAATTAATTACAAAAATAAATACTGATTGAAGACCAAAAACAGAAATACGACCGACCGACCGATCGGTCGGGTTCCCTTCCCCAAAGAAACGTCGGTGGTCCGATTGGTCGTCGGAGCAGTTGCCGGCCGTTATGATCGATGCATGGACATGGACTGCTAGCTAGGTACGTTGGTGGGTCGTCACCGGACTGGACCACGTACGCAGTGGCGGAGCCAGGAAATTGGCCAAGGGGTGTCTTTATCATATCATAAAAAATCACTTATACAATAGAAAGTCAACTTTAAATTAAACAAAAAGTCAACAACGCAATACTCTAAATTCACACAATTACATTAAAATAGTTTCACGTACACCGGTTACAACGTCAAACAAATAAGTTCAGTACATACAAATCAAGACTTCCATTCATCAAATATTACAAATTAGAACTCAGAAGTACCTTGGAATTGATTTTGTGAAACAAACAAGTGAACTTCAATTGGTACTTCTTCACTTTCAACTTTGTTTAAACAAAAGACAAGAAATTTATCTGTTGTAGAGCTAAAAAAAATGAGCGAATTTAAACAAAAGAAAACAATTTATTACTATAAATAAAGACGAAAGTGCATTACATAACAAAACTCACTCGATCGAAATGATAAGAAATTCTTCCTGCAACTGAATGGTCATTGGTTCGAATTTGTATATACCCCTATTCGGAAAAATTTTCTCCAAACCCAAGGGGCCCTTCTCTCCAAGTGGCTCCGCCACTGCACGTACGTACATCGTACATCTGATCATTCGGCCGGCCGGCCAGTTTGCAATATAATGCACTGCACCACGTCCATATATTGGCATCCCGTCACACTCTGCCTTCCTTTCCTTTCCTTGCGTGACGACGGCCGGTGACGGTCAGTGAAGTTAGCGAGTTACGTTGTTGCTACACGTGAGGGGCAAACTGTAAAAATACGAAAATCAGCTAGATCTTCAACAACGGCCGGCCGGCCGGTAGTTGTATTGTACCCGTAGATGTGTTAAGGGATTAATCCGTAACATATCAACTCACACCTGCGACTTCGAGCCGTAAATTTCGAGTGAAATATGTTTGTCAATTTGAACTTTGATCTAAGTGTTCATAAATGTATTATTTGCATCGTTTAAATAGAGTTGTTAATAATTATATGAGCTGGATCAAACTTTCTCTTGATTCAAGTTCGATTCAATAAAATGAACTCGAGACGAGTTCAACGAGAAAAATTTCATTAAGCCTCCACTAATTGAGCTAAATGACTCATACTACCATAGATCTCAGCCCTCCACAAACCATTAACCAAACAGCACTAAACTTCCTTCTATACTATACTTCAGCTTGTACAAAATTTGCATCTCTCAAATAGTCAAATGTGGGAGAATAACGATTTCTCCTCTTTTCACCTAGCTAATATATGAACCCCAATTTAAGAAATCAAGGAATATAGTTTAAAATAACTTATTAGTTATTGCTTGTTTGTTTAATAGATTTGTTATATGTAATAATCTATCGAAGTAGCTTACGAGCATAACAAAAGGACCTAGCCCAACCTCAATTTGTTAGTAAATGAGTTTAAAATGTTCGTGAGTGAATTTTCTTACGAACAAAATGTCGAGACACTTGTTAGTGAGTTTGTTATTTATAACCATAAATTTTTGGGCATAACGTTTCTTCAAACGGAGAGTCATCTATTTCTTTCCATCATCTCAGTTATTTTTATACTATATGTTGCATTTAAAAGGAATGCAGTTAAATACCTTTTCTCCATCTTTTCCCTCCATATATGAGTAGAAACACAAAAGTGTCATCATGCCCATGGATACTTTACAAAGAGAAGAATTCAAGAGAGTGGTAAAGTTGGCTAGGGGAGCTTAGTGTTTGGATTGTTTGATATCGTAAAACCTACAAATAATCAAAAGCCGAGTGGACCCGCCATAGGAAAGATCTTTATCCTCTCTTAGAAATTTGGCAAACACCAAACCACGCAAATGGAATGCTACCTTAGGGCCGTATTGGAACAAATCAGGAAGAAATTGAAGGGCCGGCCAACGAAGAGAGAGAAAGAAAAAAGAAAGTGGCTTTCCCACTCAACTAGTGCTTGGGATGGCAACAAAATCCGATCCTATGGGTATCCTACTTGACCCAATTCGGTTAACGCGGGTAAAACTCGTGTCGATGAGTTTTGGGCCGGGTATTGGTTTAAACTCATTCACTATTCACTGAGTTGGGTTGGGTTTGAGTTTAGGTAAACCCGCCCCATGGATAACTGCCCACACTCATATAATTAATTTTCCCGGTATATTTAATATTCTAAACAACTGAACTTCTTTATGTTTGTGGAGACATGTTTAATTTTGTTTCTTCTAATTGTGTAGAATGAAGTTGATATTATCGAGTGGAGAGTGAAGAAGCTTAATTGACAAGGAGGAAAAAGTTTTCAATTAATCATGTTGTTTATGGATAATTTGTGATTTGTTTCAATTTTTTTGAATTTTTTTTGGTCGGAAACGGAGCGCTAAATGGCGCTCCAACCTGTAAGATTAAACCACTCGAGAGGTTAAGACCCCAATAAGATCATAGTACAACCAATAGTTCAGCAAAGGAAAAGGGAACGTAAACACATGTTCCCCAACAGCTCGTAGCCATTGCAGTCCAATCAATGAGGTGCACCTTCCGTCCTGCTTCAGAACAACCCAAAATAAACGCTCTGTACTCACGCACACTAGCTGGTTAATTTGTGATTTGCTTGAATTTTCTAGAATGGTGTTTTATATTTGGATAATTTGTATTGAGAGATTGATATTTAACTTTTATTTTGATAGGAACTTGTTATTGTAATTTTTTTAGGATAAAAACCTATGGGTACCCATGAACCCGCGGATACCCAGCGGGTTGGGTTGGGTTTGAGTTTTTCAAACCCAGTGGGTTTTACCTGAGTTTTTTCCACGGATAAACCCATGGGTTTGGGTTCGGGTTTGGCAAAACCCGACCCAACCCGACCCATTGTCATCCCTAACTAGGGCTACAAACGAGCCGAGTCGAGTCGAGTTTTTGCTTAAGTTGAGTTCGGCTGGTTTATAAAATTTTCAGCTTGAGCTCGGCTCGAACTCAAATTTTCACAATCCAACTCGAGTTCGAGCTTAACTCGATTAAAAATAATTCAGCTCGAGCTCGACTCGATAGAGCTCGGTAAATGCTCATTAACACAACTTGTCAAGCAGAGTACAAACTTGACTCAAGATGAGCTCGATTTCAAATCATTCTTGATGAAAAAATGTGTACATATAAGAGTTTAAATGATAAAAAAACACTAGAAACTATAAATTACAGTTAACTTTCATACACAACCGTATTAACAAGTTAATGTTCACGTTCAGAAGAGTAATTAATCCTTTCATAAGCTCTAAACAGGCCAGCTCGCGAACTTAGGTCAACAAGCCACCGAGTCAAGTTATCTCACGAGCTTATCAAGTTGAGTATGGTCTAGCTCAACCTTGACTCGTTTACTAACGAGTCGGCTCACGAGATGGCTTGTTAAACGAGTTTTCCCCCGATTCGAACGCCGAATTGCTCGCGAGCGATTTGGCTCATTTGCAGCCCTACACTCAACAATCCACCATTTTGAAATGTTGGAAGAGAAAATAAATAAATGACTTCTCAATCGTGATCCCGTAAGAGTCTGTTACATATAAATGCTTATTCAACGTGTAGATGAAGAGGCTTCCAAAGCTTATGAAGAGCTTTACTTCCTACTATATCATTAGATTCTCAACATGATAAGAGGCAGGTATCTAATGCAATGAGTATGTATCTCAATTCTCTAGAGAGGGGGTTTTGGATCCCATTTTATGGCCTCATGCATGCTATCTTGTTTGTTTGTTTCAATGCAAAGACATTCATGAAATGACTTGGCATCTTGCAATGTTCGTTTATGCCCTGTTCACTTCCCATTTCATTTTCTGTTTTCTGGTTAAAAAATGAAAATCAGGAAACAAATGGACATAAAACGTGTTCACTTGACAATTCCATTTTCCTTGGAAAAACCCAGTTATTACAAATGGGAAAACCATTAATACTCGTTTTCCGAATAGAATGAGACGGGTTATTGCCCCTTTTCCCAGCGGAAATCATCCGCTCTACATTAATGAGATCGGCCGTTCGAATCACCGCGGCTCCTTTTTTTTCCCATTTTCCTCTGTTACCCTATACGGCGCCGTTTTGGAATTTATTTCATCCACCCAACCCTAACCCTAGAAGAACTATGCTTCAGCCGACCCCTTTGAACTCCTCCCATAGCAATCGGCCGCCGACCCCTCTGAACTCGCCCCATCGTCTTCTCCACCCAAACCACCCACCAGCAGCCCCATCGTCTTCCTCCGCCAGCATCGCGCCGCCATCATTTTCTTCTCCCTCGCCAGCCCCGGCCGCCACCATCTGCGAGACGAAGGATTCCCGACGCGAGAAGAACCAGCCGGCCGCCATCATTTTGCTTCTCCCTCGCCAGCCCCGCGCCGCCACCATCTGCGAGACGGAGGATTCCCCGACGCGAGAAGCACCAGCCGGCCTCCATCATTTTTCTCTCCCTCGACAGCCCCGCGCCGTCATCATCTGGGAGATGGAAGATTCCCCGAGACGAGAAGCTCCAGCCGGCGGAAATGGCTGCTGCTAGCTACTCATTTCAGCAGAAGCAACACCGAAGAAGCTTTCCCCTTCTCGAATCCTCATCAATCGAACAGAGAAGCGCCTGGCGATTACTCCTCCGAAGTTGCTAGCCATTCCTCCTCCAGCCGCACATCGTCCTCCTCCTGCTGTCACCCATTCCAGTAGAAGCAGCACCGAAGGAGCTTTCCCCCTCTCAATTCCTCCTCCGAAGCTGCTAGTGACACGATCCAGGTACTTACTCTTCCTGTGAGTGACACGATCCATGCTTGCTTGTGATGATGAATTGTACTGGTTTGGTCATGTTTTGTGTTGCTGAGTTTGAATGGAAATATTATGGTGGATGAAAGAGTTTGAATGGAAATATTATGGTGAATGAATTGAACAATGGACAGATTTGTTGTTGAGTTTGAATGATGTTGTCTTCGTTTGTTTTGTTTGATGTCAATCTGTTGGTGATATCTTATTTCGTATTGAATTGTAGCGTGATAAGCAATGGCTGATATTGTTGTCGAAAATGTGGGTGATTGTGTCATACTTGAGGGAGCCGAGGTTTGGCCTGATAAAGTAGTCGAGTATTTCATTGCTTTGATGCTCGAGGAAGTAAAGAAGGGGAACAAACATACGACAACTTTCACTAAATTGGGATGGTCCAACATTGTAAATGAGTTGAAGATTAAGTTCAACAAGGACTATGCCCCCGATCAGTTGAAGAATAAATTTAATTTGATGAGGAGGAAACACCGGGAGTTCAAGGACTTAATCAGCCAGACGGGAATTAGTTACTCTTCTGTAACAGGAAGGATTGCTGCCTCTGATGAGCAGTGGAAGGTGTGGAACGAGGTAATTGACATTTTTAGTCATTGTGATTGAATTGAAAGTAGTATTTAGGAAAGAGGAATTGATTAGAATGTTGCATTTGCAGCGATACAAGATGATGGGGACTATTAGGAAGCATGGATGTCCAGAGTATGCAAACCTGTGCATATTATTTGGTGATACAACTGCCTCTGGTGCGAATGCTGTTGCTTCTACTCATGAGGTCTCAGATAGTAGTGGTGGACCTAGCAAAGCAAATGATGTGGAACTTGATGGTGAAGAAAATGTGGGTGGAGTCTCTGGTTGTGCCAAGGAGACGTTGCCCAAAGTGAAGGGTAAAGGAAAGAAGAGAAAAGCAGCTAAATCTGGCTTTACCAATGCAGTGGAGAATGCCATAATCAGCATGGCTGAAGACTCCAAAAGGAAGAGTGAGAGGCGTGAAGCCAAGGAGGCCGCCTCTTCGGTTGGAGGACCTGTGCATGATGTATCTTCACAGGATAAAGAGCTTGACATTATGACTGAATGCATGAATTTATTAGATGAAATGGAGGTGGAGGCTAATGTATTTGTGAAGGCTTTCGATGTTCTACATGATTGTCCACTGAATTCAGGATTGCATCGGAGCAATAGATGGAGTTCATATTGACGCAGTGGTTCCAAGTGGTGAGCAGATTCCATATCTAGGACGGAAGACGACTACTACTCAGAATGTAATGGCTGTTTGTTCTTTCGATATGCTCTTTACCTTTGTGATGGCTGGATGGGAGGGTACAGCAAATGATGCAAGAATTCTTACTGAAACAGTTTCCAACCCATCTAACAACTTTCCCATGCCACCGCGAGGTACGAAATGTTTGTCTCTTTATTTTAGTAATTATAGTGCACATTTCATATGACTAATTGATTTTATATCTTATAGGTAAGTATTATGTTGTTGATTCTGGATATGCAAACATTCCTGGGTTTCTAGCGCCATATAAGACAAAAGAAGCACGTCATTTTCAAGATATCGATCGTGGAGGTGGACCAAAGACTCGTAAACAACTTTTTAACTATTATCATTCATCTCTACGCAATGTTATCGAGCGTTGTTTTGGAGTTTTGAAGGCTAGATTCCCCATTTTGAAGCATATGCCTCCTTTCGCTCTCAAGAAACAAGCACACATTGTTCTTGCATGTTGTGTTATACATAACTTTATTAGGATCCACTCTGGTGACGACACTCTGTTTGAAGGTGCTCAAAATTATTGCACGGGGGAGAATGCCAATGGAGTGCAAGGAGGACAAGAACGAGAAGCATATAATCATAGTTCAACCCAAACTCGAGCGATGGATGCACGACGAGATGAAATAGCAAACAAGTTGTGGGATGACTTTCAAGCTGGACTTATTTGAATTTTTATGTTGTACTAGTACTTAATTAATATAAGATGTTGTACTTGTATTGTGTTTATTTGTAGTTTAAAAACTATTTAATTCGAATTAAAAATTATAATCATGGCTAGGGTTGTATGATAATCAAGAATCAGAAAACAGAATGAAGCAACTAAACAGGTTTTCTTTTTAGAACTCAGTTCCAGAACTCACCAAAATTCTCAGCTAAACAAGGTTTTTTCAGGTTTTGTTTTCCAGGAAATGGACAGCTTCGTTTTCATTTTAATTTTGTTTTCTGTTGTGGCAGCTAACAGAAATGGAATGACAAGTAAACGGGCCATTAGGTGCCAAAATGATAGCTAAATAGGGGAGACCCACCAAGCAAGATATGCTTTTAAGTAAATGGAGGATGGGCCACCTCCTTCAAGATGAAATGGGACACATGTGCCCGTGATTGGTGTTCCCTAGTGTTTTCCCCTTCAACGAACACTCATTCCCTAATGAATATGTTAAATGCCTCAAATAGTTTCATTACATGCATTCGTAGTTGGTGGAACACAGAAAAACACATCCCTTAAATTGTGTTTGTAAAACTCTATCGGATTAACGGTTCTATCATAAAATTCTCACTATGAAATTTAAATTGATATGAAATTTTTAATGATATGAAATGATTGAACCATGATTTCAACAAAAAAATTCCTTATTGCTAATTTTTCTAGTATAACCTCCGAAACGGTTTTTCAATAATTACCCCGGACTCCCCACCTTAATTAAGAAGAAACAAAACAACAGTCAGTTGTTTTCTTATACAATATCAGCTAGGGTGCGATAGTCCACTTCTATTTCACTTTTGATTTAATAGTTGACAAAATACACTTTCATAACCACAACTTTTGTGTTTGTGATAGATATAACCACAACTATTGAAATACATAAAATAGTCTGAATTTTGAATTTTGTATGACATATCTAGTCATTTTCGTTACAAACTTAAACGGTGTTAGAGACTCCGTCACTTAGGTTAACATTAGGCTTACTAGAATGCCAAATCGCCGCACACGTCGACGACAAATCAACCACAATTGCCAAGTAGGTGCCACATGATTTTGAGTTATAAAAATAATTATTTTTTAAAATTTAAAAAATATTTTCCCTAAATTTTCCCCTAAATCGTCTCTGCAAAGCTCTCATCCAAGCCTGCAAATCGTCGTAGCCGAGCTCTCCTCCAACTGCGGCACCAGCGCTGGAGCTAGGGATGGCCACAAAATCCGAACCCACGGGTACCCACCCGACCCAACCCGGTCAACGCGGGTAAAACCCGTGTTGACGGGTTTTGGGCCGGGTTCGGGTTTAAACCCGCTACACTATTCACCTGGTCGGGTTGGGTTTGGGTTTAGGTAAACCCGCTCCATGGGTACCCGCTCACACACATATAATTACTTTCTCGGTATATTTAATAATCTAAATAATATATCTTCCTTAAACAACTAATATTCTTTATGTTTGTGGAGACATGTATAATTTGTTCTTTCTAATTCCTTAGAATGAAGTTGATATTATGAAGTGGAGAGTGAAGAAACTTAGTCGACGAGAAAGAAGTTTTCAATTAATCTTATTGTTTATAGATGTTTATCTTTAATTTTGAACAATTTGTATTGATCATTTGCGGTTTGCTTGTATGCTCTAGATTGTTGTTTATTGTATGATTAATTTGTATGAGAAAATTCATGTTAAACTTTTATTTTGAAAGAAACTTGTTATTGTAAATTTTTTACCACAAAAACCCACGGGTACCCATAAACCCGCGGATACCCAGCGGGTTGGGTTGGGTTTGAGTTTTTCAAACCCAACGGATTTTACCCCGAATTTTTTTGGCAGATAAACCCATGGGTTTGAGTTTGGGTTTGACAAAACCCGCCCCAACCCTACCCATTACCATCCCTAACTGGAGCTACTTTAGCCGCGAAACCTTCCATAATTCTGCTGCGCTGTTTCGACTGTGGGATGATGCTGTTTCCGCTTGGCTGTTCCACAGGCTTCTCTCTCTCCATCTTCGACATCCAACCCGCCGCCAATCGTAGAACCCGAATCGAGCTCATTCACCTCTAGATTTCCCACAAACCATTGAACAACCTGTCGAATCAAATGGGATTTTGCCTTAGAATCCCTACGGGCGATGATTTGCAAAGAGAGAGTGATGACAGTCGGGCAGTGAGGATGCAAAAGTGAATTAATCTTATTTCATTCTTAATTATTCTTTTCATAGATTTGTTATTTTACCTAATATGGTCGATGAACTTTCATAAGGTAGAAGGGTCATCAAATATATTATTTATGTTTAAACTTCTTTCATGAGGCCAATGTTTCAATTTGTATGGCTAGTAGTTGATCCTGCTATAACTTTTCCAGAATGAAACAGTTTCACTGGATCTTTTCAAAGTAGGTTAGATACTCATGGATTTGGGTTCATTTGTCTTTCTCAAACAAAAGGAAAAAGCAAAACGAAAAACACTAAATTAAGCTAAAAATCGCTACCGACTCAAAACTTGTCAACACCAGGTTCAACTCGCTTTGACCTGGTTGGACCGAGTTTTGGACAAATTCACACCTGACACAACACGCCAATTACAAAAATAGATAAAACTCACTCCCACCAAAAACATGTAAAATCGGGTTCAAATCGCTCTGGTCGGGTTGAATTGTATACCCATACGTTTGGACCCAATTGTCATTCTCAACCAAAAGGAAAAGGATAAAAAAAATACTATATCGGATAAAACTCGCCCATGACCCAACAAAAAGGAAAAAGTGAAAGAAAAAAACACCAAAGCGAACGAAACTCGGTTCCGATACAAAACTCGCCAACATTGAGTAGATATGGTATGAATTTTCGGTAGCGGCATTGGGTTCAATTGTGATCATGCTCAACAAAAAGGAAAAAGAGAAAGAAAAAACACTAAAGAGGATGAAACTCGGTCCGTATACAAAACTCGTGGTAGCGGCCTTGGGAAACGATGGTGGGGAACAACTTAGGGTTTCGCCGACAGTATTTCGAGATGGGCTGCAGAATGGTGGGCAAAGGCGATGATTTGTATTCAAGTTAGTATACCCATGTGTTTGGGTTCAATTGTGACCATGCTCAACAAAAAGGGGGAAAAAGAAAGAAAAAACACTAAAGATAATGAAACTCGGTCCCGATACAAAACTCGTGGTAGCAGCCTTGGGAAACGATGGTGGGGAACAACTTAGGATTCCGCCGACAGTATTTCGAGATGGGTTGCAGAATGGTGGGCAAAGACGATGATTTGTATTCAAGTTAGGATACCTATGTGTTTGGGTTCAATTGTGATCATGCTCAACAAAAAGAGAAAAAAAAGAAAGAAAAAAACACTAAAGATGATGAAACTCGGTCCCGATACAAAACTCGTGGTAGCAGCCTTGGAAAATGATGGTGGGGAACAACTTAGGATTCCGCCGACAGTATTTCGAGATGGACTGCAGAATGGCAAAGGCGATGATTTGTATTCAAGTTAGGATACCAATATGTTTGGGTTCAATTGTGATCATGGTCAACAAAAAAGGAAAAAAGAAAGAAAAAACACTAAAGATGATGAAACTCGATTCTGATACAAAACTCGTGGTAGCGGCCTTGGGAAATGGTGGTGGAGAACAACTGGATTCCGCCGAAAATATTTCTAGATGAGCTGAAAAATGGTGGGCAAGGCGATGATTTGTACAAAAAGCCATAGACGAATACCTAACGAACAATAACTAAACACAAAGGTGATGATTTGTGGAAAAAGTCATAGACGAAAACCTAGCGAATAATAACAAAACACAAAGGCGATGATTTGTGCAAAAAGTCATAGACGAAAACCTAGCGAACATTAACTAAACACAAAGGTTGTAGAATGGAGAGTGGGGTAAAAGAAGGGCTTGGAACTTTCCCACTTGCACTTGGAGGAGTGTGAGAGCCACTAATGAATAGTAACTCTCATGTTAGGCTTTATATTATTAAATTAAATATTAATTAAAATATAAAAATTACTAATTAAAATAAAACGTGGCTGTTAATCCACTTGTATTAATCCACATATACAGGTGGGGATGGAATATTGCCAACTCACTCAGCATTTCCGTATGTCCAATCATACTATTAAGTGATATTGTTAAATTTTTTGACAGAAGTGACCATTTTGTGTATTTCGAAAGATGTGGATATATCTATCGTCACAAACGTGATAGTTGTGACTATGGAAATATATTTTTGCCTTAATATTTAGGTTTGATACACTTGTATATCCAAAAGTATTACGTTTGTGCCAATAATATCCAAAAATCCGGAAATACCACTTATATCCATATTTTAAACTTGTTCTTTGCCAAATCTATCCACTTCCTTTAAATGCTTTGACGGCGTTAATAACTCCGTCAACATAGCTGACGGCAAGCTGATTGTACGCCAACTATGCAGACACGTAAGCGCCAACTACGCCAAAAGTGCCACGTAAGAATGAATTAAAAAATAATAATAATTATTTTTTTAAAAAAAACCTAATCCCACATATTCCCACTGACGACGAACAACGAGGACGTTTAGTCCCCCTTTCTCCTTTCTTTTTTAGGGTTCGCACCCTGGCGGCGACAAAATCTCCTCCTGCCGACTGAGCCTCCTCCAGGCGATTTAAGATCATCCCGCCGACTGTATATACTCCCTGGGATTGAAGATCCTCCCCCCGAGTGAAGATTTCAGATTCGTGGTTTCTGGCGATTTGGCGACTCCTGCGATTTGGGCGGATTTGGCGATTGGCGATCGGCGACCTAGATTCACGACAAAAGCGATTTGCAGACCCAGCTTTCCATTTGTCGTAGGTGATTAACTTCTTTGTTGATTCTCGTCTCTGCATTTGAATTCAGTCGACGTCTCGCCATGTCGAAGAGATGTTCTTCTTCAACTTCGACACAAGGTCATGGGGTGGTAGTTTGCAAACACAACATGGCCTGTGTGGTTAATACCTCTGGTACGGAAATGAACCCAGGCAGGCAGTTCTATGGGTGCCCATATTGGAAGGTAAGGTGGTTTTTAGTATTTGAGGTTGCCTTTGATGAATGTGTTTTTTGAGGTTGCCTTTATGGTGCAGAACGAGAAAATAAATTGCGGTTTCTTTAGGTGGGTACATGGGATGGTTGATGAAGTGGATGAAGAAACCTCTACAATTGGGAGTTCTCAGCTGAAGCTCGAGGAAAATTTGCGGATAGCCGAGTCAAAAGCGGAAATGAGGAAGAAGGTGAAGAGAATTTTGGTTGAAGAGTTGTCAAGGTTGATGAAGACTCAAGAAGTTATGCTGGATGAAGGAAGGAGATTGGCTTATGACATCCGTCTCATCCGATATCATTTCACAGTGGTTGTTGTAGTGAATTTCATATTGCTTGTTCTTTTGTGGCAGCACCAGTTTGTTATGTAGAAGTAGTTGTATTGTACTAGGTTTGCTTCCAATTGAAAGGTGATTGTTGTATCTTAGATGAGATGTTAAACACAAGGGAGTTGTGGCAGCACCAGGTTTGCTGTCAATTGTAGTTCTTGTAGGTTGTCATGTTCGAATTTGAGATGTTAAACACAAGGTAGTTGTGTTATCTTTCTTAAATGAGTTAAATAGTTTAAGTTGTTGTAGTTGATGAGCTTCCAAACATGAGCTCCAATCTGAGATGCTAAATAGCTGTTCATTACAGAGTAGTCTAAGATTCTGAAGCCTAAATAGTTGTGCATAATTACATAGCATCCGATTATAGAAATCAGCCATTACACTAGTCAGCTAAACAAAATGACCTCTAGTGAGGTAGCTTAATGGCCTATCACAAAAAATAACTTGTTTGTGTATAATTACATAGCATCCGATAATAGAAATCAGTCATTACACGAGTCAGCTAAACAAAATGACCTCTAGTGAGGTAGCTTAATGGCCTATCACAAAAAATAACGCCTTTATCCGTCTAAGATTGAGTGTTGGGGGGATGGCTACCATGCATATCGATCTCAGTGGGTTGAGAGCCTCGAACTGGTCGTCCTTGCGCGCCATTAAGCTGAAACCATGTCATGTTAAAATCAGCTTTTGTGCATACAACAATAACATGTTCTATTCATTATTGTGAAAGCAGGTACTCACTCCAACGTATTGGTTACCGGTAGTCTCGTTAACATGTACTCCTATTCCGGTTGTGGCAATTCGTAACTCGCGTTCAATCGTTCTTCGGTCGCTAACATTGAGTCTAACATCCTATGCAACCGTTCCATATACTTTAGCATGTTAAACCGAAATAATAGCATACATAATTCATCTAGGATGTAGATAGCTTACTTGGATTCCAACCCCTCGATTCATAGGACAAGTTCTGACGTTATGATCAACCGAGCCACATTTGGAGCAATGGCCAACACGAGTTCTCCGAGTAGCAGGAGTTGTGTTTCTTGGGGTATCATTGGCTGGTCGCTTTCCCCTAGTACTTCGGGTGTTGACCTATGCAAACAATAACGAACATTTGTTAGTTTAGATTCAACAATTTGAACACAAAAGATGTGAACTGGACAAGATTAGGAGCAAGTATTACCATGCCTTCTCCATCTCTAGGAACAGTCCCATTGCCTCTAGTAGCAGCCCTATTACCACGCGTTCTCTATCATTCAATAAGAGAATGTTAGGCAAATTTCCCCCACTATCAATGAAGGAAACTAATCAATACGCTATAAAAAACATCTTACCATGCCTGTTGCGACAGTAGGAACAATACAACATCTTGCATTGTGGTCTTCTCCGCCACATTTCGTGCAATGCATGATTGAACCACGTCTTGCAACTTCCTCTCCTTCACGATTTCGTTGAGGTCGAACCTCTCGCTCGTGGACTGCCTTTCTTCTGTTTTTTTGGGCCTTCCAGGCATACTTCGTTGTTTGGGTGGGTACACTGGAATGCCCTCAGCAGCAGGCCAAGCTTGTCTCCCTTCTAGACATGGGATTCCGTTCTTGTAAGCGTGCTCGGCGTTGTGCACATAGTAATTGGAATGCACGTAGCTGTCCAAGTCCTTTCTCAAGTGGGAGATCGCAGAGACGGCATGGCAGCAAGGAATGCCACTCAACGACCAATAACCACACGTGCAAGATCTAGTAGTTAGGTCGACGATGTAACCTACAACACCTATCTTGATCTCACACTTATCATACAAAGTTTATCTTGCAGTGCATAACCTTGCCACCTCCTTTTCCTTCTCTAACCTTTTTCTAATTCTAGGGCATAACAGATCGGTACAATTCAACATCATCTCATACTTCACAACAACCTTATCCATAACATACCCTCTAATTCCCTCTAACATGTCAATGATTCGCATTCCCCTATACTTGACAATCACCCCATTCCAAGTTTCACAAATATTAGACTCAACCGAGTCACACTTTGGTAAGGTAGACAAGAATGCACGGCAAAATGACCTAGGTTCTGCATCCATGAAATCAGTGAAGGGGGTTGTACCATGTTCCTCATCTTCAATACCTTCCATTTCGGTTGTGGCATTCTTCCAATCAACCTCATTGCAAGAGTACACTGCTTTCTAGAAAAGCTTTCTGACCTTATCTGTCTTGTTCTTTACTTTCCAGTTAGCATACACGTGCCTTGCGCACTTACGTTGCTCGACCTCGGGCAGCAAATCATGTAATGCCTCCACTAACCCCTGCAAAGTAAACAACACTGTTAGAAATTATGCATGTGGAATTTAATGGAATTTAAAAGGCAATTGGGTCCTACCTTTTGCTAGTCCGATATGACAGACCAACCCCTACCATCCCCGAGCTCTAAATCTTGAGCTAAGGTGTTCACAAACCACATCCATGAGTTTGTGTTTTCTCCCTCTACAACTGACCAAGCAATTGGGTACATTTGGTTGTTGCTATCCTTACCAACTGCCGTTAAAAGCATGTCTTTAATTTCCCCCTTCAGAAAACATCTGTCCAATCCGAACATCGGACGACACGCTTCAAGAAACCCATCCCTTAATGCAGAGAATCCTATGTAAAATCTTTGAAAGTACACCTTGTCTTCTGAAGGGTGCGGCTCAACTCCAAGAATGAAGTTCCCTCTAGGATCTCTCTTTTCCAACTCTCCCAAGTAAGACCTCACCATGTGATAATCTTCCACAAGTGAACCACTCAACATTTTGATAGCACTTATTTTGGCTCTATAGCAGGTTCTTCTAGCCACTTCTATATTATGCTTCAATTTTACCTCTGCCATGATTTGAGTTGGCGCCCACTCGGGATTAATTCTGAATCTCTCTAGCATATCCTGTGCAATCCAGTGGGCAGTCACTTGGTTGACCCGCAGTTGTCTTGCACAAGAATGTGGCAGCCCAGTTTTCCTCACCATGAAGATCTGATTCCGCCTGAACCAGCTAGCATATACCCTCCATTTGCAGTTCTTGTCCTTGCATTTGAACTCTTTTCTTGATTTCTCAACCCTAACCCATCTCAAACCGGCCCCATGTGCTACAGAGTGGCGAACCACAGCTGCCTTAAATTCCCCAGGACTTACAAACTTCATTCGCGGCACGAACTGTAGAACCTTGTGGTTACAATGTGGATCGTATTGCGGTGCATCGTCGAAGATGTCCCCACCTTCCAAATCAGAAAGATTGGCTCTTACATGGTTGGAATCCTCAGAGAGCCTGTAACTCGAATGGTTCGAGTCTGCTCGCCTAGCTTCTTGCATTGGAGGTACCTCGGCCGGTTCATTCACATCTTCATTCACACCATTACCTTCATTCACATATTCATTCACACCATTATTCCCATTATGACCATTATCCCTAGCCAATCCATCCTCATCCTCAGAGTCATCACCAGAGGATTCATCCTCCTCCAAAACATCAACCTGTTCAACCTCCTCTCCATGGCCATCAATACGTGCCTTCACCTTCCTTCTCCTACTCTCCCCATAGGCTCTAAGATTTGCCATTGCTTCATGGTACTCGTCATCAGAAGTGTCTGCATCTTCTGAAACGTAAACATGGTATATTTCTCGAGCAACAGATGCCTCGACACCATCATGTGCAACCAAGGAAGCAACTGGACTCTTCTGAACAGCATCTGGATCATTCTCTCCAAAAGCCTCATCCCATGAATCAGCCATATGTAACAGCCTTAATCAGTTTTTTAATCACCATTATCCCCATTAACAATTCTTTAATCATTAACTAACAAACAACTCGAAAAAAGCAACGATTGACATTATTCAATTTTAGGGTTTTTGCAACCAAAGGTAATGACAATTCTATCCAGAAGATTCAGCTACTCACCGTCAGATTCAGGGGCAAAATCGGTGTGGAATCCAGTCGAGTGGTCCCCTTGTTCTTCTGTCTTTACTCCTCGCTACCAACCAAAAAATCAAGAGAAAAACACTACTATAAGAACTTTCCAACCACAATCAACACCCACAACTACCAATTCAAAAAAGAGACTCACCTGTGGCTACAGACGAGGTTGCTCAGAAATCCCCCTTTTCGGTGCGATTAGGGTTTCTTCGAGGAAGGTGGGCGAGAAGGGTGATCGACGAAGGATGAAGGAAAATCAGGGGATACGACGTATTAGGGGGATCGCTGCTTTCGTCCTTCTCCGTCGCCTTCGTCAAAATCCGTCTCCTTCGTCGCCTTCGTCGCCCTCCGCAGGCGAAGGGTTAGGGGTTCGTCGATGAAAAAAATGAGAAGGGTAGAAAGTTAGGTCGAGTCGAGGGTGAGGTCAGATGGAGGCAATTGAATTTTTTTTTGTTTAATTTTTTAAATAATATTAATTAGCTATACACGTGGATAAGTAAAGAGGAATTGGGAAATAAACGTTTGCCACGTAAGCACCACCGTTTGTCCAGTCAGACTTAACGTTAACACCGTCAAAGAATGTGACGGAGTTGGATATAAGTGGCATTTCTGGATTTTTGGATATTATTGGCACAAACGTGATACTTTTGGATATACAAAATAATAACAAGATATCTATTCCAATATTTTCTTAAGCACATGACACGGGCCATGTTCCCCGTGAAAACGTGGGTTGTGATCATGTACATTTTTAACCACATCTTATTACGAAACGGGCGAGGTTAACGATCAAAGATAATTGTAAAAGAATGACGAGAAAACCACAATTAAATAAATGATAAAAACCATAGTGACCTGATTTTATGTAGAAAGGAAACCTCACAAGCGTAGTGGCGAAGGTCTCACAAGTTACAACACCAATCTTGTGGTTTCCATATTCGATTTGTAGGTTGGATTAGCAATAGGTTAGTCCATTTTGTGGCTCGAAAGACCCTCTCTTCACCTCCAACCTCTTGTTGTTCCTTTGATTTTTGTTCCTAAATTGGGTCCATGGTGTGATCTCTCATCTTTAATTCAATCAATATGATTTTTTTTTTTTAAAATAGCCTCACAAGTTAAAGCACGTAAGTCCGCAATTACCAACAAGTGAATTGGCCGCGAAATTGGACCCTCATCCTTGGCAGACAAGACATTTGTTGTTGGAGCGCAATTTCAGCCGGCAATACGCATACAAAATTGATATAAACTATTGCTAGAATGGTTGTCGTGCACTTCCAACAAATATTCCCACTCCTTATTCTTGATCTTCCCAATTATGCATCCATAATATAACAGGACAGCTATAACTTGCTTGCTTGATGCGTTGCTCTATTTCAGGCAGCTATTAAACATGAAAGTCGTAAATAAAACTATTATCATTAACCATAACCAAGCCTATAGCTCCCTCTTCAAAGTCTCCTCTGTCTTTCTTGGCTCAACCTTCTACCACATCCTAAACAGGTGCTCAACTACAACTGCACATTTCCCTTACATTATCTCTAATTTTAATCATTTTCACTCTAAAACTTAACCATCGACATATTATATCAGCCTAAAATGGATAGTTCCAGTAATATTATATTTCCTCTAAACACAAATTTTCAAAAAACCCAGGAACCATCAATCTATCTAGCTGGAAGCATGCTGCTACTTGGAAAGCCTAGTCCAACATAAGGTCTATTTTCCTTGGTATTCAGAGTTCAGACAAACTCACCTTCACACTTTCTGGTTTTCCTACAAGACTGCTTCAACTGCGCCCCTGGCTCTTCAACTGGATGCTTACGACGTTCTACACAAATGGCTGTCACAGCTTTGAGATTTGTACCGCCCAAAACTTAAGCTCATAATGTAAAAGCAAAGACAGTTTAGGCAAACTAACTTTAAATAAATGGACTAAGAAGTATCAGCTCTCTCGAATGATTGTTTCCTTGCTACTTCATTTTATTTCTTAAAACTAGATTACTAGCAATTACAGAAAAGCACATGGGCGTCAACATGACAATGTCGTCGAATACAACTTTCATGGAGCGGACCAACTAGGGATGGTGAGCATCCACAACAAATGGAGCGGACCAAGGGCCTGAACTTCATGCATATAGCTTCTACCTTGTTAATTTTGATCCTTAGATGTTCAATTATCAACAATAACAACTATCTATGTGGTACAATAACAAGGCCTTGCACCAAAGATCTAAATAACAAGGCCTTGCTAGTCTTCGTAAACAAAAATCTAACAAGTAAGGACATATAGTGGAGTAGACATCGGTTGTTAAAACCAATTATGCAGAGGTACCTATCGCTACTGGATTACAAATCAAACAATCTCAGGCATCAACCAACATGTTTCACTGCAACACATGATACTAGCCAGAGACTCTCTCATACGAAGGAAACAAAGTCTAAACTTTCTACAACCAAGCTCCATCCCTGCAAGTTGTGGAAGAAAGATGACAAAATCGGCCATCGGAAGTTGGAAATTTACTGATAGTCTTTCTTTTCAATCCAGTGCAAATAAAGTGGACAAAGAGGCATAATTTTTAGTAACAGGACATGCACTAATCAAAGGCCCTGGAAACTTCCTAGGTAAATAAACAATCATCGTCATATCAACAAGCAACTTGGGCATCTGCTGGAGTGTCTCGGGGTATTGTTGCTCCATGCTGAATACACCATAATTTTCAGCAGTCTCTCTAGTACTATCTATGCAGTATGTGAAGCATCTTATCTTATTTTTGTCAATGTAAAATAGATGTCGAAATGTTTACTGTAGTCACTAGCTGAACATTCTAAAAGCATTTATTCACCAGCCTCCATTGGAGAAACCAAAGGCAAGGAGTGGTAGATAGTCTAATTCTGTTTCGGGGTTAAACAAATCATGTAACAGTCATCCTTCCTGCTTCAATTGAATACCAACAACATAGAGGAGAAAGACTCAGAGACATTAAATGAAAAATGAAAAGACAAGTTTTAGTCATATTCCAGACTCAGCAAACCATAGCAAATAAAATAAGCCTGATGGTGCGCATAGAGCATAAGCACTTGTTGCAGTAATCGAAAACTATGTGGAACTGGAAACCATATAAGCCAGCCCTTCTATGACTTAGAATAAGGTTGTGATTCATTCACAGGAACCCTACCCTACTCATACTGTGTTTAACTGGCAAGCCAAGAAATTTCTAATTACTCGGTGTCCAGGAGAAAACATAGCACGTTACTAGCAGGTTGGCAATTACAAGGGCTTTGAAAGACAAGATAGAGCTAAAGAAGGTAAAAGAAAGAGCTAGCATAGAAATCAGAATGCAGCGAGTTCACAAATTCTAGGCTAAGAAACTGCACAACAGCAATCAACTGACATGCTTTGCAATTTCAGCTAGTGAAACATGTACTCCATCACAGAATGTAGGTGGTGGGATATAGGGGGGGAAGTGGAATCGAGTTATGGAATTCCAAATAATCATATCATTTCTGAAAACTTTTCAGGAGGTGAACAACTATTATATTGAAGATCAATTTCGCTATGCTAAATGGTGAGTGGTAGCAGAGAAGCCATAGCACATTGATTGAGACACACAAGACATCAGTAGTATCCAAGTGACAGCAAGCAGTGGAGAAATGCAAGTCAAATTTCCTCCGCAAGATCTTATAATTTCACAACGAAATCGCAAAGTTCAGAAAACACAGACATATAATTGTTCTCAAAGGAAAGCAACAAGATCTCAAGAATCAGCAACAAGTAAATACATATAACGGACACCATACAAGTCGAAATGAAGATATTGCACTAGGGAGCAGGAGAGTTACTGTACAGTAATAGACGAAATTATCAGCCGAAGCAGCGAGTCAATCGGAGTGGGAATGGTGGATGTAATCGTCAATACGGACGGGGGAGGAGTAGGGGGAAGCGACGGTGGAGGCGGAGACGGAGGAGGAGAAGGACGAGGCCCCGTCTCGTCTGAGAGGATTACGAGCAACAACAAACACAATATCACCCCCGTCGTCAGAGTCATCGGAATCGGCAGAAGAAGAAGAAGAGTAGGAGTAGGAGTAGAAGGAATCTGAAGGTGGCAAGCAGAGGAAAGTCCAGAGGCAAACAGCGAAGCGACCGAGTTGATGGAGAGGGAAGCAGCAGAGAAGATCAAGGAGCTGAGGAGCAGTGAATCGGTTTTGCAATCGGAGGCAAGCAATTTGCTGCCATGCCTCTACCGACACGTGTGCTACTGATAGCACGATCACACTGTTGAACACCATTTCGGTCCGCCACCGCCGAGGAAGAAAACGACGACTCTTCCGATCTCCCTCTCCCTCTCCCTCTGTCAGTGTTTTGATGATTCGAGATCTTTTGGCAAGGTTACTCTTGTTTACTCAAGTTTCCACTTTTGTTGAAACGTTTCGCCGTTTTTTTATGGGGTTCGCTATTACTCTGCAGGTAGCGCCTGTGGCCCAATTTTTAAATGGGCTGACGTGGTTGTTGCAGGCCTGGTTCCATTTAGGTCCATAAACAAAACAGATCAGTTGTTTTGCTTATAATGCGTAGAGTGGGTACAGACTACAGATGTTATGAGTTTATAGTTGAAGGGCCTATACGTTAGGAAGGTTAGGAAGGAGGTACCAACGAGCATTTAATCTTATTGTGCAGGGCTTTTTTTTTTTTTGGTAGAGTATTGTGCAGGGCTTTGGAGAAAAGGAATAAACACATCTATCGCCATTGAACCCCGAGGCGAGGCGGGTAAAGCTGGAACTGCAAGAGAGAAGCAGGGGGAGCGAGAATGGAGGCATTGAAGGTGTTGAGCCTATCTTCTCGGCCATTCCGTCGCCATCTTCTCCACTTTACTTCTTCAGCTCCCACTCCAAATCCTGCATATTATTCTACTTCAATTCTCCGATGTTGCTCCCCTGCTGCCACCGGAGGCGGCGTAGCTTCAGCAAGGCCTGCCGGCCGCAGCCGCCGTTCCTCCTCCTCCTCCTCTCCTACTTCATCTTCGTCCACTTCAGACCGTGAGGCCGTTCGAGCTATTAGGTTGAAAAAGGTCATTGTCTGTCGACTTCCTCATTGCTTTTACTTGCATTGCTATCTGATTCAGATATTTTACTTAATCCTATGACTCCCCAGATTTCTTCTTCACCAAAATGCAATCTTTACAAAAATAATCTTCTTACCTCCATACTTCTAACAGGAATTTCGGTTTTGAAATTCAGAAACAAACAAGTAATGCCTCTCCTTATTGCCTTCTTTCCGAGGGAGAGACACAGAGGCAGTTTCCAACTGTTTCTTTTTCCCCACACATAATCAGCAATTGGCACAAGCTGAATATGCCAACAAGTGAAAGGACCCACCAAAGTTCTCTTCTTTGGCCAATTACAGTTGCAGGTCAAGAGAATTTTGGTATTTTGTAGCTTACGATTTTGCTTGGATTTATAGGTGGAGGAACTAAGGAGCAAAGGGTTTGAGCCCTATGCATATAAATGGGACAGAACTCATAATGCTAATCAGCTGCAGGAGTTGTATAGGAATTTGGGGAACGGCGAAGAATCAAGCAGTGAGAGTGATCATGTATCCGTAGCTGGGAGAATTGTTGCCCGCAGGGCTTTTGGGAAGCTTGCTTTTCTGACACTGAGAGATGACTCTGGGACTATTCAGGTGTGTGTTTCACTATTTTCACATTCTTTTCCTTAGTTAACTTGTCTGCCAGCGCTCCATATGACATTGCAAAAAAGCTTCACCACCCATTTATTCTGACCATCTTGTGGCATACTCAGGCATGACCTAGTTTTGGACTAATCAATCATTTTAAGAATTCATTCTCTCCTTGTAATGTCGTAATTCTAGTTTCTCTCTGCAATAGCTTTACTGTGACAAAGAGAGGCTCGTGGATGATCAATTTGACCAGCTGAAGAACCTTGTTGATATCGGTGACATATTGGGTGCTAGTGGTTCAATGAAGCGGACAGAAAAAGGTTTAGTGCCTTATGCCTATTCCATCATCACTTTATCATTTTTCACAGGACCTATTTGTCTGGGTTTCCTGTGCTTAATTTTCTAATTCTTGGTATTGTCCAGTATGATATTCTCTGAACTGTTGTTAAATTTAACAGGAGAGCTTTCTGTTTGTGTAAAATCTTTCACCATTCTTACAAAGTCTCTGCTTCCACTTCCGGACAAGTATCATGGTTTAACCGATGTTGATAAGAGATATCGCCAGCGGTGAGTTTTCATTCAGTTTCTTGATGTTCTTGAAAAATGATTTCCCTGGAAGTTTTTACTCGTTACCTAGAACGTGTCTCTTGTTAGTCCTCAAATAGAAGAAATGCTTGATGATCCTTTTGGAGATGGTTTAGGAATGTACGTAAGTTTGTAAGGGTGATAAGCATGATATATGATGATTGTATTTCCACAATGCTTTCATACCAAATTTGTACATGTATCCTGATATATACTAATTCCTTCTTTTTGCTTCGCTTTATTATCATATAGTTATGTTGATATGATAGCAAATCCTGAAGTGGCTGATGTATTCCGCAAAAGAGCAAAGGTGGGAGTGTCTATCCTTGGAGATGTAACTTCACAACGATTGCTTTCTATTCCTGAGTTTTAATCTTGCTCAACTTGCATTTTCGAAAACCCGATTTTGTGGCACCTTAAAATGAAGGTAAAAACTTCTTTGTTATGGTACAGCGATTCAGGTCCAAAGGTGCTAACTTATATCCTTTCCCAGATTGTTTCAGAAATCCGCAAGACAGTGGAATCATCAGGTTTCATTGAAGTTGAAACACCAGTTCTACAGGTGTGTTAATTTTGGCAAGGCTACTAGTTTTTGTTGTTTTTTATTTTATTTTTATGTCAGTGGTAAATGAATTTGTCACCTGCCTTTGATGCCATCACTTATCTGCTAGGGAGCAGCTGGTGGAGCTGAAGCTAGACCCTTTATGACATATCACAATTCACTTGGAAGAGACCTCTATCTTAGGATTGCAACTGAGCTGCATTTAAAGAGAATGTTGGCAAGTGTTTATTCTAATGACTCTGCTACTTAATGTTGGTAAGCCCCTACGTTATCTGTTTATGAACTCAGTAAATATGCATCACTCAATGGCAGGTGGGGGGTTTCGAGAAGGTATACGAGATAGGCAGAATATTTAGAAATGAAGGAATTTCACCCCGTCATAATCCTGAGTTTACAACTATTGAGGTAAACTAATGCTCTGGATTAAAGATTTTATCATCAGATAATCTAACCTTTTTGTCTGAGTTCCTGAGTCCTTATCAATACTTATACTAGTGTCATCGTAGATGTATGAAGCTTATTCAGATTATGAGAGCATGATGAATATGACAGAAGAGATTGTTACAAATTGTGCTCTTGCTGTTCACGGGAAGCTTACAATTGACTACCAGGTAACGTTACTATTTATTAAGATATGCCATGTCACATTTAACTTCGTTGTCAAAATGTGGTACCCTCGGGAATGTTTGTAAACCTTGAATATTCTTCAATGCAGGGGGCAGATATATGCCTAGAGCGGCCTTGGAGGAGGGAAAGCATGCATAATCTTGTAAAAGAAGTAACTGGTATAGATTACAATGATTTGGGCAGTGATCTTAGAGTTGCTAAGGAGGTATCTTTGAAGTCTCTCGAACCTGAGCTTGAAAGCAAAGACAGGTCTGCTATTGAGGCATGTGCTTCTGTAGGTCACCTTCTTAATGAGGTATAAAGGATCATTTAGTAGAGTTTCAGCTTGTTTTGCTTTATATTTGTTAATTGCTGTGGCATCTTTAATTTTCCTTTTTGTGATTGTAACTTGTTCAAATGTCTAGGTTTTTGAAATTTTCGTAGAGCCAAAGCTCCAGCAACCCACATTCGTTTTGGACTATCCCATTGAGATATCTCCCCTCGCAAAGCCTCACAGAAGGTATAAAATTTACTCTTTTTTGTGGTGTTATTTCACATGTTCCTTGTGCACAATAAGTCGTGGGTCATAGTGAAGTTGGATTGGAAACTGAACATACTTATGAACCTGTTGAGAAACAACCAACGTAGATATCTTCTTTTTATTGACATCTTTGTTTATATAATTAGTAACCTTTCTGAATGTTATTCAACAGGCATGTAGGCTTGACTGAGAGGTTTGAACTCTTCATCTGTGGTCGTGAATTGGCCAACGCATTCTCTGAATTGACTGATCCAATGGATCAGGTAAGCGTTAAGCAAAATTTTTGTACCTATTTCGCTTGACCATCCATTAATGAATGACTTTGAGTTTGAGGTTTTTGCCTTTTCCATTTTTCAGCCTCGTTCTTGTATCATGAACTTGCAGTATCTTCGTGAAACCCTTATAGTAGGGTAGATATGGACGAGGGCCATCTTTTCATCCTACCTAATGATCTTTTTGTTGTACTGCAACAGAGGGTAAGATTGGAAGAGCAAGTGAGGCAGCACAATGAGAAAAGGATGGCATCTGGTTCGGAAGTGTGTTCTAGTTCTACAGAAGTAGGTAGAAAGAAAGATGAGGATGATTCATATGAAGTTGCATTGGATGATGACTTCCTAGCAGCATTGGAATATGGAATGCCTCCTGCTTCTGGATTGGTAGATTATTTCCCCCTTGCTTTGTATCACAATTTTCTATGATTTTTTTCTTTTCTTTCTATCAAACAAAGAATGATAACAAGAATTCATTGGTTAATAGGGACTTGGAATTGATAGGCTGGTAATGCTTTTGACGAACTCACCGAGTATCCGGGATGTTATTGCCTTCCCCGTGCTCAAGATCCAGCAGTAGGGGTTCCCTGGAAGACAGCGGCAATGAAGTGGAGCGAAGCTGGAAACTGAATGAAGCTCAGCCAAGCAATCACTTTGGAGACCTATCATATCATTTCCCCATAAAATGATGCTGGTTGGAAGTTTTGTGAATTTTTGAGAGCATTGTTCCTTTATTATATACTGAGAGTTTTACCTCCGCAATTCTGAAGTTTGCCACTTTACTGATTGATAGTCTTGTGTTTTAGCACCACTGAAAATAAAGGAGAGTGATTTCTTGTTACAGAACGCAGACTAACGGAAGGTCTAGTGACTAACTTCCTCTCCAGGTGAATGAATAAAGCAACCAAGAAGAAGAATAGTGGCAAGTCTTGTTTGTACAGGAAAGAAATACCAAAACGAATACAAAAAGCGAAGATGTGTGCAGTAGCAAGCATTTGTCATGACTTATTATCTTTACAGTTTAGAAGGCAGGTCAACATCTGTTTTACTACAGGGGAACAACCTGGAAGTATTTTTACAAACCATAAACGAGGAATGGTAGAACTAGAAAGCGTGTGGTGTTTGGTGTAATCATGAAGGGGTCACCTTTCCTTCCAGCTTGAATTGAACTAACTCTAATGACGGGTCAGACAGGAAGGAGAAGGAAACAAAGGCATCGAATACCAAAACTCAAATGATGATATTCATTCATATTTCAGACTCTTATCAAGCCTGATTGTGATTGGTGGTGGCTGGGCCTGGAGACAGATAGCTTGTTCATGTGGGTGTTCAAACTCTTCAAGGTCCGATTATGCATGCAGCTCAGCTCGTAAGGAAAGGAAGTTCGACTGCCAAAAGACCCTTCATCAGTAAATACCTGAAACCAAGGGCCAAAAGATCATGCCTTGTCCCTGAAGCATCAAATTGTAGATAAAAGAATGATCGCTCTTCTTTAGTCTTATGATCTCATGCACACATCAAAAGATTATTGAGATAAACCTAAAATCTCTTCTCGTTGCTACGAAGGGAGGAAGTGGAGAATATCACAATGCAATCTTGGAAGATTTCATAGAGAAGCGATATCTTTTTTGGGCTTCAAGATTACTAAAGAAAGGGCAGGAAAGGAAGGATCTTGTTTTGCTTGTCGCTAATCGTTTGTTTGCTTTTGTTCTACTAAAGAGTGCAATTAGTTTGAGGGTTTGTTTTAACACGGACGAGACACTTGGGTGTGAAAAACCAAAAGGATAACCACAAAAGTAATACAAAACAGAGGATACAACAGACATCGCCTGAACAGGGGAAGGCTGCTGTAAAAAAAAAAAAAACACATAGCAGCAACAAAGCAAAGAAAAGAACAGGGAAAGATCAAACCCATAGCAGGCGACGGTCACAAGAGGAATGAGTTCCCGATATTGATAAACCCAGAGAAGTGATTCGGATGTAAAGGATAGGGATAACATGCAAAGATCTAAACTTTATTGGAACCATAGATGAAGAATCCATGGAAGTACACAAAAGCAGCGGCAGCAGCAGCAGCAGCAGCTGGCAGAATGATTGAGAACCCAGAAGGAAAAATCTCTCAAAGCAACCGCCTACTGCTATGTTTATGGATGTTAACCAGAGAGAGTGAGAGAGAGGCACTTCGCCGGGGAATCGATCTTCGATCTATATTATTTTTCAGTTCAAGATGAAAGATTATGCCGATTGGCGAAGGTCATAAATCTCTGTATAATTATCTGCTTGTTCCTGTAATTTTTCCGCTTGATTTTAGATTTTTCCCGGCAATTTATTTGACCTCCATGCCAACAAATAGCGGAAATTCAATATATCGACAAAAACTCGTAAATATCGCGATATATTATTATATCGTAATATATCGCCAATTTCAATTTCTCGTCAATTTATCGCGTTTCGATTTTGGTTTTGAGGACACGAAACGTTTCGCGTTTCGCCGTTTCTCCAGTATATTTCTCTGTCTTCTACCCGTTTCTACAGCTTCGCAGCTTTATGGCCAGGGGTGGCCAGAGTTGGGCGCGTCATAATTGGCCCTAATTCGGGATGAAAGCAAATAGGTCAGGATGGGCTTGATCATGTGGGCCAGCGTGATCAAAAGTTAACTGGCGTGACTAGGTGTTGGGCCCATCCAAATATTGGGCTAGAAGCACCTGCTCCAGAGGAGCCGCGAAACCCAAGAGAAGAATTCAGAAACGTGGAACGGTTAGCCGAAACGGGAAACGTTTCTGATCCTCAAAACAAATTAGAAACGCGACAAACTGAAGATAAAATGAAATTGGCGAGATATACAATAATATCATGATATTGGACGAGATTTTACAGTAACATTGACGAGAAAAGTCGCCCCGGTGATATTTTGACTGCAGAACCCACCCAGAAAGCTTTGTATGTGAGCGAGCATCGGCGTTGGTTCCCTCCCTTTCACCTGAAGCGTTTATGATTTGGAGCTTGACCCCCCTCCCTACTCACTCACCTGCTACACTCACTATTCCGCGATTAGTTTAGTTTGGCAGTCGTCGGCGATGAGGTTTTCCCCCTCCCCTCCCCTCCGTTAAGCATAAGCAGTGAAGCTCCTCCGACTAATTTGAACTGAAGTAGTGCCACTGTACGAATGAAGTAGTGCAAATCTAAACCCTTAACCCAGAAACTAATCCTCACTCCCAGTGTAAAGAGTCCAGACTAGATTCGAACAAATCAACCCTATAATCTGATCTGATCTGATCTTCCTTTTATACAGAGCAGAGCAGAGCCTCATTTAGATCGATTTGAATGAGTCACCTTTCGTTTCCAGCTTGAATTGAACTAACTCCAATAACAGGTCAGACGGGAAGGAGAAGGAAACAGAGGCATTGGTTTGGTGGTGGCTGGGCCTGGCGATAGCATTAGCAGCACTCACTCACTCACTACTTGGTCTTGTTGCATTGCAGTAGCTCGCTCGCTCGCTCAAAGAAGGTCAAATCTTCCTTCAAACACAGACATGAATATATATATATATTATAATAATATTAATACTGATTTTCCCAATGGCAGCAACAAGAAAGAAAGATGGATCGATGTCAAAGAAAGAATGAGCAACAAGCAAATACATTATTAGTAGTTAATGAAAAAGAGGGAAAGAGAAACCAACCACCGGGCCGAGAATTGGCCATTTGCCAACCAACCAACAACAACGACAACAACACTCAACTCAACCAAGTAGCGCCAAACTAGCCGTCCCCTTCCCCTTCCCCTTCCTGCCGGCCTCTCTCTCTCTCTCTCTCTCTCTTCCTTTGTCTTCTTCTACTCCGCTCCTCCATTTTCACTTTCCTTCCTTCCTCGCAAGGCAGAAAAGAGAGAGAGCTATAGCAGTCAGCAAGTCAGCGTTTGTGGCCGCCGGAACTGAATTCTCGCCGGTCAGCCAACTTCTTCTTCCGCTACTCTCTAGTCTAGTCTAGTCTCCCCCCCACGCCAACTCCAACTCCAACTCCCGATTCCCTATGCTTCTCAACTCTTCCCCGCCGGCCGTCCTTTTCCCCTTTCTCGATCGGTAACCAATCAATCAATAATACCCAATACCCCTCCCAAGCAAAGCAAGTCCGAACCAACACACAATATGCCGGCTCTCTGCTGCTTTCTGTTTGTGGCTATGGCAGCTTCCTTCTTCCCCTCCGCCGTCTCGCAGCCCAACGATTCCCAATCCCTTCTTTCCCTCAAGCAATCCATCTCCGCCGACCAGTCCAACCTCCTCTCCTCCTGGCGCACCGGCTCCTCCGACCACTGCTCCTGGTTCGCCGTCCTCTGCGATCCACTCTCCCGCCGCGTCGTTTCCTTGAACTTCACCCCTCCCTCCTCCTATTCCCCACTCGTCGGCCTTCTCCCGGATTCGATCGGCGCCCTAACCGCCCTCCGCACCCTCGTCCTCTCCCGCCACCGCTTCTCCGGCCCCATCCCTTCCTCCATCTCCAACCTCCGCTCCCTCCGCCTCCTCGACCTCCATGCCAACAACTTCTCCGGCCAAATCCCCAACCAGATTTCCTCCCTCCCCTCCCTCGCCCTTCTCAACCTCTCATTCAATTCCTTCTCCGGTCAGATCCCCTCCCGCTTGATTGGCGCCGGCTCTTTCGCCGCCATTGACCTCTCCAACAACCAGCTCAAAGGAGAAATCCCCATCGCTCGCCCACTTGATTGCTCCCGCCTTATCCACTTGAAGCTCTCCAACAATTACCTGGAGAAGATGATCCCCCCTGAGATCGGCCAGTGCAGCAACTTGAGGACGCTGTTGCTCGACGGCAACATCCTCCAAGGCTCCATCCCGCCAGAGCTTGGTCAGATCTCGGAGCTCCGAGTCCTTGACCTTTCAACCAACAGCCTCACTGACTCCATTCCCAAGGAGCTCGGCAACTGCACGAATCTGGCCGTCCTCGTGCTCACCAACGCCTCCAACTTTGTTGTCGCTGGAGACACTATCGGCGATGATTCGAGGTTAGAGTTCAATGCTTTCGAGAGGGGAATCCCTCATCAAGTGTTGGCGCTCCCCAGTTTGCAGATTCTGTGGGCACCCAGAGCCAATTTGGATGGAACGCTGCCTTCCAATTGGACTCAAGATTCCTCCTCCTCCTCCTCCTGTGCCCTTAGAGTCCTCCAATTAGGACAGAATGCCTTTACAGGCATACTCCCACAGGGCCTTGGAGCTTGTAAGAACCTCACTCTGCTGGATCTCAGTTTCAATAACTTGACTGGTAATCTCCCCACGCAGCTCCCAGTCTCATGCATGGTGTATTTCAATGTCAGTCAAAACCATTTATCTGGGATTCTCCCAACCTTCCCCAAGGGCAAATGTGATGATGCTAACATGATTTCCTACGGCAGCAACTTGGGTTTGGAGGATGTACAGATTGCATACTCCAACATTCCTGTGTGGGGGTCTCAAATGAATGCTCTTTTGGGTGGGGATGAGGGTTTCCTGATAGTCCATGACCTCAGTTGGAACCAGCTGGCTGGCTCCTTGCCTGCCTTCTCAATTGGTGATGGCTTCTTGGCAGCTAACAAGAAAATTGCATACAGGTTGCTTCTCAACAACAACATGTTCAATGGGTCTTTTCCTGCTGACGAGCTAGTATCAAGCTGTGATGATCTGTTCAGTTTGTCTGTTAACCTGAGTGCCAATGTTCTCTCCTGCGATATCCAAGAAGTCAAGGTTCTGAATTGCTCCAAGGTTAGGGAGTTTGAAGCAGCTCATAATCAGATGCTTGGTTCGCTGACTCCTGCCATTGGCAATATGGTCAAGCTTCAGTCTATCGACCTGAGGGGAAACAGCCTCTCCGGTTCGCTCCCTGATCAATTCGGTGATTTGAAGCTCCTCCAGTTCATGCTTCTTGGAAGCAACAATTTCACTGGAGGCATTCCATCTCAATGGGGCCAAATGTCTTCTCTAGTGACTTTGGATCTTTCTCATAATCTCATCACAGGATCAATCCCTCAAAGTTTAGCAAATGCGAAACACTTGGAAACTGTGTTGCTTAACAACAATGGTCTTTCTGGAGAGATACCCTCATCATTTTCCAGCCTTTCAAGTCTGAAGGATCTAGACGTTTCTTTTAATAATCTCTCTGGCCCCATACCGCCTCTCCTCTACCAGATTGATTGCAGCCAGTTCACTGGCAATGCATATTTGGCTAAGTGTTCAGAGCCACTGGCAAGCTCACCTCAGTCATCAGTAGATGAAAGCCAAGTATTGCAGCATCAAAACAATAATCGGGCATTTATTATTGCGTTGGTAACCTCTGTTTCTATCATACTGGCTGTCTCATTGGTTGTGGCTATATGGAGGATGTACCGGAAGCGCAGTTCAAGCCAGCTTTCTGGCTTGAGAGGCAAAGTGGTTGTGACATTTGCAGATGCTCCACCTGAGTTGACGTATGATAATGTATTGAGAGCAACAGGGAACTTCAGTGTCAGGAATCTGATCGGCACAGGCGGCTTTGGGGCAACTTACAAAGCAGAAATAGTTTCTGGTTACTTTGTTGCGGTGAAGAGACTATCAATTGGGAGGATTCAGGGGAGTAAACAGTTTGATGCGGAGATTAGAACGTTGGGCAGAATCAGGCATAAAAATTTGGTGACTTTGATTGGATACTATGTGGGGGAATCTGAAATGCTGCTGATTTACAATTATCTCTCCGGTGGGAATCTGGATACCTTTATACATGACAGATCTGGTGAAAATGGACAGTGGTCGGTGATTTACAAGATAGCACTCGACATAACACAAGCTCTGACATACCTTCACTACTCGTGTGTGCCGCGGATTCTCCATCGAGACATCAAACCTAGTAACATATTACTGGATGAGGAGCTTAATGCTTACCTCTCTGACTTTGGTTTGGCCAGGCTGTTGGAAGTGTCACAGACTCATGCTACGACAGATGTTGCAGGCACATTCGGTTATGTTGCGCCAGAATATGCAACCACGTGCAGGGTTTCCGATAAGTCGGACGTTTACAGCTTTGGCGTGGTTATGTTGGAATTGATGTCAGGGAAAAAATCGCTCGATCCATCGTTCTCTGAGTATGGTAATGGCTTCAACATTGTGGCGTGGGCCAAGTTGTTGATCAAGGAGGGACGGTCTTCTGAGCTCTTCTCTGCGGAGCTGTGGGAAACGGGGCCCAAGGAAAACTTACAGGGGATGCTGAAGCTTGCTTCAGCATGCACTGTGGAGTCTCTTTCTGTGCGTCCATCTATGAAGCATGTTCTTGAAAAACTGAAACAGTTGAAGTACTGAAAAAAGCAGCACAGGGTCATTGTGGTAGTGGAAGGTGAATGGGTCTTCTTGCGGAACTGCCCATCCGAATATTCCTGGACTTAAGGTAAGATCATCATTAAGAACCCAAGTTAGATTGACACTTTAGTTGTGGCATTTTTGCTAGGATGAAAAACTATAGTGTGATAGCACAAGTGTAACTAGGAACGGATAGTAGATTTTGTTTCATGCTTTCCCATAACTTTTTACAAATCTTAAAGAAGGCAGAAGCTGTATGTATGAAGTTCAGAGTGGCAAAGATTCAACAAATCCAGAGTGGCTAAGATTCAGGAAGAGTTGCCAGCAAGTCTTGTTGCTGCGATTCCTTATTTCCTATATTTAGGTGTGCATAATTGAATAATTGCTTCTTTTGTGCTGTTACTAAGTTCTTCATTTGCTTAGAACTTGATGAAAGCTGTTTTCTGGACGGCCATGTTCTTTTCCGTATGTGCTTAGTGATCTAGTTTCAAGAAACAAACAAAGTAGCTAGGAATCAATAATTGCAGAGAGCTGATAGAGTGATAATTATTAGACATGGCTGTGCAAATCTATGGCTTAAACGCATGATGTATAGAGGGATAACTAATAAACAAGCAAGTCCTACTCTCAGGTTATAGTCTTTTACCTCTTCTTATATGGTCACTATGATATCTTCTTCTTGAATACCAAAAGATACCAGATTAAATTAATGGTCATGATAAATGGGCGATGAAGTTTCTTTACCCTGTCTTGCAGTGTCAAACGGTGCGCTGGCAAACAAATTATTTGACGAAAAGAATGTGAAGATGGTGGAAAACACTCCTGAATCTTCCCAGAGTCATCTCTCAGTGTCAGAAAACCAAGCTTCCCATAGTCTAAGCCTCCATAGTCGCCTCTTGAAATGCTTACCAGTCAAAAACGAAACTGGATACACAGCAAGAGGCTAAATGAAAATCTGCAACCTGGCTCCATCCCTGCAAGTTGTGGAAGAAAGATGACAAAATCAGCCATCTGCTTGGAAGTTGGCAATTCGCTGATAGTCTATTTTAGATCCACTGCTACCAACAGTAGATCTTGTTACTTCCTTTGTAAATAAAAAATAATCTGGACAAAAGAATGAGAACAAATTTTCCCTCCTTTGCAAATCTATGAAACAACTTTTTGTAGAAGGAAAGAAGAGGGTAATTTGTTTCTTTCAATTTTTTATGGAAGAGAAAGAGGAGGGAAAATTGAGTTTTTCTAATGTATGGAAGGAGAAACAAGGAGGGAAATTTTAGTATTTTGTGAAAATAAAGAAGGAAACAAATTTGGTGTTTTCAATTTTTTGGTTTTTCATAATTTTAGCTTTTGAAATATGAATCTTTAACTTTTATATGGAGGGCATGACTAGTTAAAATTATTCTTATATGCTTTGAAGGCTAATATGTATATATGTATGTAATTGTTTATGGGCTAATAAATGAATTAACCATTAGTTACAACAATTTATACTAAACTTGATAAGTAATCTTTGACGGTTCGTTGTTTAGGATATAAAGTATATGGTTAGGGTACATATGGTTTAGGGTGTATATGTTTAGGGTATAAGATATTGATGGTTTTGACGGTTCTAAGTTTTTTATTAACATATGTTCACTTGAAGTCATTTGAAGTCTTTAACGGCAGGAGATCCCTTTTTAATTTATGTTTATGGTACGTGGTCAGGGTACAAGGTATGTGGTGTAAAGTATATGATATTAGGGTATAACAATTAGCAAATATCACTTTTTATCTATGTTTTGAAAATCAAAGTATGAATTTCACTTTTAAATTAAATATACTAGCAAAATCACAACTCAAGGACATATGATTAGGGTATAGGTTATGTGGTTAGTGTATAATGTATTGATGGTTTAGGGTATACAATCAAGAACATATACTAACTTAATATTGTTGATTGAGGGTAAGGCTAAATGTATAGGATATATGCTATTGAGTAAGTTATGATTGAAGTCACAATAATTTTACTAAATTTGATAGCTAATCTTTAATGGTTCAATTTTTAGGATAATTCGAACAATTTTACAAATAACTCGTTTGGCAACAGTTTACTGAAGTTATTTGGGCAATGAGTTATTTTGAAATAACTCCTTTTATCACTATGCTTTTGCCAATTACCACACGCCAAATACCAGATTTGCATGGTTATACTAAACGAGATACTTTAATTCAATTACTACTGAATTAATACTAAAATATCAAATAAACAATTAACGGTGTCTTTTGGTTGCAAATATTGGTATCACCATTACTATTAGCTATAATACTTTACCAATTATGATTAATTACATAACAAGTTTGCAAGTCATACAAATTGATTAAAAATTTTGACTTGTTTTTTTCAAAAAAAATAAAGTATATATATACGAGGTAGAAATAAATTGGTTAAAAAGTTGAGAAAATATTTTAAGTTAGTGTAATAAAATGTGTAAGTTGGTAATGAGTTAAGTTACTTGATGCGCTGGCCCGAACAACCCGAAGCCCGACCCGCCCGACCCAAAACCCGATGAACCCGCAACCCGATTTGCCCGCAACCCGATGAACCCGCAACCCGACTAACCCGCAACCCGTTTGAACCCGAACCCGATGAACCCGCAACCCGACTAACCCGCAACCCGTTTGAACTCGAACCCGATTGAACCCAGCCCGAACCCGCCCGATTGACACCTATAGTATTATCCCTTGATAACAACATGAGCCATTCCCTGATAACTGCATGAGCTCTGATAATGTTTGTGCCACGTAACTGTGCTCCATTGCCCCCGCGCCGACTCGTCTCCTTGCACGCAAAGGCGCCCCTCAAATCTTTCCCAGGACTCGTTAGCACTCCGAAGCCTAAGTTAGTACTCCGTTTCTAGAGAGAGAAGTGAATAGGGATTCTAGAGAGAAGGTCTAACCTGAGTAAATGAGGTTCACCAACCTCGCTATTTATACTAGGGGACTGGCCGACCAACATCCTTCCCTTCCGCCCTCCGTCAGACCTGCAATTAATGCGTCATACACTTATGTTCCATGCGCCTCGACCATCTGACCTTTTGCTCAAAAGACCGAGGCGCATGACGTCAGCTGGTCCACTCTCCGTACCCTTTCGACTGTTGGGGGTCTTTGTCGCATGCGCCCGGTGTCAGAATCCTGGCCCCACCTGCCTGGGAGGTCTCCTTGCCTTACTGGGCTGACCCCCTTCACGCGCTTGGGCCTATTTGGTTGGGCTTTTCTCCCTGACCTACTAGCTCCCCTCCCTTGGGCCATGGGGCCTAATCTCCTTAGGTCCCAGTTATGCCCCCAATAAGGCCTGACCTCCTTGGGCCATAGTTATGCCCCCAACAATTGCCCCCCCCCCCCAGTTGCACGCCTAGGGCCTTTAACTAGACGTCTAACTGGTCCGCTATGTCTTGGCGGCGCTTGGCTGTCTCCTGCGCCTTCTTTTAGCTGGCGCCCCATTTTTCGTACCCATCGTAGGGAGGCGCTTACTAAATACTCCGTTATTCTCCGATGCGCCTTGCCCCCAGTCTCTGTCTCTCTCCGATTCTCCTCCCCTCTGCTGCCTCTTCAGCTTCCCCTCCTTTTAATGCCAACATGAGACCCTTGGGATTCTTTCTCTTTTTGAGACTCTTGGGCTTCCCCTTATCTCCCCCCAGTTCGTTTGGAATTTTGAATTTCAAATTTCAAACTTCGAAACGGACTAACACCCTCTCCCTTCTCATCCTCCTACCTTGCTCTGCCTTCTCTCTTCTTTCTCTCACTAGAGCTCGGCCGCGCTAACCCTGGCGCCTGCTCCTCTCTTCTGCGAGTCTCGACTGCACGCTCTCGCGATGTCGTCTTCCCAATAACCCGGCCCTTCACACTCTGCGCCTTCCGCTGATGCCGCCGCTTCCTCGAGCGCTGCGCCTCAAGGCAGGGGCAGAGCTAGGATTTTGGGTTTGGGGGGGGGGGGCTGGAAATGTTTCGTATACTATCGCAACTAGACAAAAATCAAAATAATTATATAAATTAATTAATTGTGTGAATTATCAAAATGTACGACATGTTTTGTCAAATAATTAGATTGACATTGTTGTTAAACTTATCGGGGGAAATTTTTCCAATAAAGCTATAAAATTGTAAAAAACTCCAACCGAAAAACTGACATAAGTGGGGATTGAACCCCTTACCTGTTGGATAAGGAACCACTACAACTCCACTAGGATAATCAGCTTCTTTAGATACCTTTTAACCCGTGGCCATTATTATTAAACATGTATTTACTTTCGTGATTTTCGAAATTCTCCCCCGGGGGGGGGGGGGGGGGGGGGGGGGGGCCTTAGGCCCTGTGTAGCTCCGCCAAGGTATGAATGCTCTCCCTGCTCCGAACCCTTAGATGTTCTTCATGTCGCGCTTGCGTTAGCTGTGTCGTGCCGAGTTAGGGTTATGCGCCTCTCTCTTTGTCCCATGTGTCCCCCTTTAGATCTGCCCTTGTAAACATGCGCCCCTCCTTTATTACCCTTCTCCTTCTTTCTAATGCGCCCCCCGATACCTTCCCTGCCTTCATTTCCTTTCCTAACCAATCTTTACTCCCTGCCCCAGGCCCTGACGTACCGCAAAACTACGCGTTTTGCTCGTGGGAGTCAACTTGGGCCTCGGGGTACGCGCCTGAGAACGTGGCGAGGCTACCCCTAGAGTCGGCGGGGCCTAAACACGCCTCGAAATTGGTGCGTGTGCGGCTGGAGAAGCTTCTTGTGGCCGCTCAAATGTCGGCGCCTTGGCGGTACGTCCATGGCAGGGGCGGAGCTAAGTAGGCTCTCGGGGGGCCCCAGCCCCCCGAGAATTTTGAAAGTTACGTGTAAACATTCCGACCATTTTGAGATTTTCGTATAAAGTGAAGAACAATTAAATATGTTACATTGCACCAAACTAACACAATAATACTTGGAAGTCTAGCGGATGCAGTGTTTACTTATTATTTTTAAGTCTTGGGTTCGAAACCTACTCTTAGCAAATTTTAGTCTTTTAATTAAATACCCTATTAAATAGTTTGCTTCTAAAATAGCAAATTTTAGTCTTTTAATTAAATACCCTATTAAATAGTTTGCTTCTAAAAATGTCTATAATTTGTGATATTAAACCGAGTTCTTAGGTATTTATTTTTAAATTATGAAATTAGAATGAGTTGCATAATATTGACTTGAAATGCATTATTAATTTGTTAGTTTGTTTCTAATTTTATATTAAACGTGTCATGGTATTAGTGTAGATCTTATTTTGAATGAAAATGAAATGTGTTACACACTTACATTACATTGAATTACATTTTAATTGATTTTTTATTTTAATATATAATGAACCTATCATGTTAGAAATTTGAACTTTAGATCTTATTTGGAGTTATTTTAGCCATCTTAAAAAGTGTAGTTATAATAATATAACAAATCTATTTTCCCTTATTATTTTAATTAATTTTAACGTCTTCTCGCAGTTATAGAGTAAGAATTCGGCCCCCCGACCGTCAAATCCTGGCTCCGCCCCTGGTCCATGCGCCTCCTGAATCGAGGATAGGTGTTTGCGGCGATAGTGGCTGGACAGGTCTATACCAGGAGTTCCTCCGGTTCGGCCTGCGCTTTCTCCTTGACCCCGTTCTTGAGGGCGTGCTTGATGTATGCCAACGCCCCCTTGGGCGCCTCTCTCCAGCCGTCATTTTGTATAGCATCCTCTTTCGACATAAGTGCCAACATTGAGCATAGTACCCACCTTCAAACTCTTCAACCATTTTTTTACCATGTCACGGAGCTCGAACTGCCTTATTCTGCACAAGCGCAAAAAGTTGGGATACAACTTCATCAGCGGCTACCAAAAAATGGGGCGCACGTGGTTTGACTCATATTTTTTCGTCTAACCACGTGATACGCCCTTCTTCACGAGTGGGCGTCCAGCGGTGACTGAATGGTCCTTGGGGACCGTTCACTACTTCAATAAACCCGCGCCGCTAAATAAAACGGAGTTGGCCAATGCCAAGCGCCTCTCCGAGGAGCCCTTCACTTGGACGATGACGACGCATACGTTCGTCATCTGGCTGACATCTATCAGGATGGTACCAATGGGTCTGCGCTTGATGTATATGTTCGTATGCGCCCTTGTTCGGTCTGCTAACTGTCTCTTCTTCTGTGTTTCCTCGCAGGTACAGACTTTACCTCCGTAACGGCTATCATCCGATCACGCCTAGGGATCGGCCGAGGCACACCATGAGCCTCTCCGGCGCCTGACACCTCAAGGCCTTCCGCCTCCGAGCCTCAAAGGAGGAAAATCAGGATTGATGCCAAGGTAGCACCTGCCACCTCCGTCTCAGGCGCGTCGGGCGATGCGTCCGAAGCCTCCACTCCGGATCCTAGCCCTGGTACTGGCTTGGGGAGCCCCCACCCCAGCCCAGCGGCAGTGGAGTGCTCATGCTCGCCCGCCACGCCCCCTTCTGCAACCACGCCTCGCGAGACAGGGGAAGTGGACACTCCGCCTTCGCCGCCCCACGCCTCGAAGAGAAGGGTCGGGGACACTCCGCCTCGCCCGTCGAAGAAGTCTAGGACGCCCCGGTCTGATGAGGCCGGTCTGCCGCCTAGTTTTGTGGCACCTACGATTGGGGCGCATACTGGCCAGACAATCTTGTTGAAGAAGGAATCCTTGTCTCACAAGGATTAGGAAGCGCGCCAAAGAATCCGTTCAAATCCAGTTGTTGCAAGTTAGCAATACTGCGTCGTTTGCTTTATTACCAAACTGGTCCTTTATTTGTGTTTTTGTTATTTTTTAGTCCAGTCAAGAGTTGTTAGTCTGTTGAGAGTCTTCAGCGAGCTAGGTTGTTAGTTGATTTGTGTTTAGCTTGATTCTCGGTTAGTGGAACGTTGGGAGCAACCAATATTGTGGTTAGCACTGACAAGTATAAGTATTTTGCATTCAATCAATAAAAGACTCGTCAGATTGCAATTTACAGTGTTCTACATTTGGTATCAGAGCATTAGCAAGCTGTAACCATTGTTGCTTTCAAGCAAAGGATCTGAGTCATTGATCAAGGAAATTGAGAGTGAAGTGCAAGATCTAGGTTTGGGAAACATGAGAGTTCTCTGGTGAGGTTTTTAAGGGTGTGTGATTTCTGAGTGCTGTGAGTTGTTTGTGATATGCAAACATGAGTGACAACAATGGCTTTGCTCAAGTGGGGTTGCCAAAGTTTGATGGGGATTTCTATCACTGGAGCCTCCTTATGGAAAATCTCCTACGATCCAAAGAGTATTGGTCAGTGGTCAGTGAGGGAATCCTTGAGCATCCTACTGGGATTCAACTGTCTGCTGTGGAAACCAAGAACCTGGATGACCTCAAGCTGAAAGATCTCAAGGCCAAAAATTACCTGTTCAGCTCCATCGACAAGTCCATCCTGAAGACAATCACAAACAAAGCTACCTCCAAACAACTCTGGGATGCTATGAAGACAAAATACCAAGGGAGTGCTCGTGTTCAGAAGGCTCAGTTGCAGGCATTAAGGAGAACTTTTGAAGTTCTTGAAATGAAGGAGGGTGAGTCTAATTCTGCCTATTTCAGTCGCGTTATGGTAGTGGCTAATGACATGAGGAATTGTGGGGAAGAGATGCCTGATGTTAAGATTGTAGAGAAGATCTTGAGGGCATTGACTGAAAGGTTTAACTATGTTGTATGCTCCATAGAGGAGTCCAAGGACATAGAAACTCTTTCTGTTGATGCCTTGCAGAGTTCCTTACTTGTTCATGAGCAGAAGTTTCATAGGAAGTCTGTTGTGGAGGAAGATCTGGCACTGAAAATGGCATATGAAGGTGGAGGTAGAGGTGGAAGGGGAGCAGGCAGAACTGGTGTGTGGCAAGGAAGGGGAAGAGGAAGAGGAGGAAGAGGCTGGAATAGAGAGCATGTTGAATGCTTCAAATGTCACAAGATGGGTCATTATCGCAGTGAATGCCCTGACTGGTACACAAATCAGCAAGCTCGCTATTCTCAGGCCTATTCTAGTGACAAAAATGACAGAAATACTCCTCCTGATGATGTTCTGTTAATGGCTTTCCTGGAAGAACCTCTAGCAGAAGGAATGGACAATTATTGGTTCTTAGATTCTGGTTGTAGTAATCATATGTCTGGAGACGAGATGGTTCGAATCTCTTGAAGCTACTCAAGCTAGGAAGATTAGACTGGGAAATGATACTAGATTGGATGTTGCTGGCCAAGGCAAAGTAAGGTTGCAACTGGGAAGTGTGAATCTCATTGTACACAATGTGTTCTATGTACCTGGATTGAAAACCAATCTATTGAGTATGGGCCAGTTGCAGGAAAAGGGGTTGGAGTTCATAGTAAAGAGGAATACTTGCAAAATTTATCATGAAGAAAGAGGTTTTCTGCTAGAAACCACAATGAGATCAAACAGAATGTTTGTTTTGAAGGATGAGTCAGGCAAGACTGAAGTACATTGGATCCAAACTGAAGATACCTCGAAGACCTCCTTGAGCCTTTGGCACAGGAGGTTTGGTCATTTGAATCCTCAAGGTCTGCTACAAGTGACACAGAAGGGATTCATCACAGGCATACCTCAGCTGAAGGGGAAGGTTGGAGTCTGCTCTACATGCCAAGTGGGCAAACAAACCAGGCAGTCTTTTCCAAAGCACAGCCAGTGGAGGGCCACACAGAAGTTTCAGCTACTCCATGCAGATCTTTGCGGACCCATCACACCCATTTCAAATGGGGGGAGAAGGTATATCTTTACCATAATTGATGACTTCAGTAGAAAATTGTGGGTCTACTTCCTAGCAGCTAAGTCTGAGTCCCTGGAATGGTTTAAGAAGTTCAAGGCACAAGTTGAAAAGGAGACTGGTCTACCAATTATGTGTCTCAGAACAGACAGGGGAGGAGAGTTCTTGTTAAATGAATTCCAGGATCTTTGTGATCCAACTGGAATCAAGAGACAGCTAACAGCAGCTCTAACTCCTCAGCAAAATGGGGTGGCAGAAAGGAAAAACAGAACCACCATGAACATGGTGAGATGCATGCTCAAAGACACTCTAGTACCTGCAAAATTCTGGCCAGAAGCTGTAACCTGGACAACTCATGTTTTAAATCGAAGCCCCACTGTTGCTAATGATGGAAGAACACCACAGGAGCTGTGGACTGGTGCTCCCCCATCAGTCTCTCACTTCAGGGTCTTCGGTTGTGTGGCATATGCCCATATACCTGACAAATTCAGAAAGAAGTTGGATGATAAGAGTGTCCAGTGCCATTTTCTGGGGATTTCCACTGAATCAAAGGCCTACAGACTTTACAATCCAGAAACACAGAAAATTCTGGTGAGTAGGGATGTAGTTTTTGATGAAAGTAAGGGCTGGAAGTGGAAATCTGATGTTCAACCTGTCCTAACAAGTCTACTATGGGAAGGAAGTGATGATCCCTATGAAGATTCTGATGGAGAAGAAGGACCACAGCTTTCAGCTACTGCAGTTCCTGATGAAACAAATGAGGAGGAAGAAGAATCTGAAGAACCTCCAAGTCCAAAAACTCCTACACCTCCTGCTGTAACTGAAGCTGCAGATGAAGATGCTGGAAATGAGGCTACTGATGTGCTAAGCCTACCTCGAAGCACTGATCTTGGTCCCAGATCAAGAAAGCCACCAAGTCACCTAACCATATATGACTGCAACAGCATAGAAAGTGAGCAACTAGAATGGCTGGCCATGATTGCAGTATCTGAAGATCCTCAATCCTTCGAAGAAGCTGCCACAGAAGAAGTCTGGAATGAAGCAATGAGGCAAGAAATGAAGTCCATTGACAAGAACAACACCTGGGAATTAACTGATCTGCCTGCATGTATAATTCCCATTGGTCTCAAGTGGATTTATAAAACTAAGTTTACTGAAACAGGAGCTCTGGATAAACATAAAGCTCGGTTGGTTGTTAAAGGATATGCTCAGAAGCTAGGAATAGACTACAATGAGGTCTTTGCTCCAGTAGCCAGATGGGATACTGTCAGGTGTCTGTTGGCCTTTGCTGCACAACATGGAGTTCCAGTCTGGCAGCTTGATGTCAAAAGTGCATTCCTCCATGGAGAACTTACTGAGGATGTTTACGTTGAGCAACCACAAGGATTTGTGGTTGCTGGGGAGGAATCCAAAGTATACAAACTCAAGAAAGCCTTATATGGCTTAAAACAGGCTCCCAGGGCCTGGTACAGTCGAATAGAAGCTCATTTCTTGGCTGCTGGGTTCCAAAAATGTCCATATGAGGCCACATTGTTCATCAAACATTCTGGTGAAGGAGTATTACTAGTAAGCATTTATGTGGATGATGTACTTTATACTGGTACTAATGCTGCTATGGTTGCTGAGGTAAAAAAATCGATGGAAGCAGAATTTGAAATGACAGATTTGGACAAAATGAAATACTTTCTAGGGGTGGAAGTAATTCAGAAAGAAACTGGCATATTCATATGTCAGCAGAAGTATGCAAAGGAGGTATTAGCAAGATTCAATCTTGCTGACTGCAATTTTGTTCATAATCCACTTGTTCCTGGAGCAAAACTGACAAAGGCTGGAGATGGAGGTCTGGTGAATGCCACTAAGTACAAGCAACTCATTGGAAGTCTGCTGTACATTACAGCTACCAGGCCAGACTTGATGTTTGTTGTATGCTTACTGAGCAGGTACATGGAAGCACCCACCAAGCAGCACCTACTAGCAGCAAAGAGAGTTCTCAGGTACTTAAAAGGTACACTCAGCAATGGTATATGGTACAAAAGGAAGAATGGAGAAGGAAGTCTGATAGGATACACAGACTCAGACCATGCAGGTGATTCTGATGACAGGAAGAGTACCAGTGGATACATTTTCTTCCTTGTAGGAGGAGCTGTTTCCTAGGCCTCCAAAAAGCAACATGTTGTGACACTATCAACTACTGAGGCTGAATTCGTGGCTGCTGCTTACTGTGCAGTACAGGCAGTGTGGTTGAGAAGAGTACTAACTGAGATTGGATGGGAATCAAGTGTGAAGAAGGCCACTGAGATCAGATGTGACAACAGCTCGACTATAAAGCTGTCCAGAAATCCAGTTCTTCATGGAAGGAGTAAACATATAGATGTAAGGTTTCATTTCCTCAGGGAGTTGGTTCGAGATGAAGTTGTGGAATTACAGCAGTGTGGTACAAGGGATCAAGTGGCAGACATTATGACTAAGGCTCTATCTCAAGAAGCTTTCCATATGCTGAGAGCAGAGCTTGGTATGTGTGATCTTTCTGAATTTGAAGAACAGTGAAGTGAACTGAAGCAGGAATCGGAGGGCTTCAGTTCAGGGGAGGATATGTTGAAGAAGGAATCCTTGTCTCACAAGGATTAGGAAGCGCGCCAAAGAATCTGTTCAAATCCAGTTGCTGCAAGTTTGAGCAATACTGCGTCATTTGCTTTATTACCAAGTTGGTCCTTTATTTGTGTTTTTGTTATTTTTTAGTCTAGTCAAGAGTTGTTAGTCTGTTGAGAGTCTTCAGCGAGCTAGGTTGTTAGTTGGTTTGTGTTTAGCTTGATTCTTGGTTAGTGGAACGTTGGGAGCCACCAATCTTGTGGTTAGCACTGACAAGTATAAGTATTTTGCATTCAATCAATAAAAGACTCGTCAGATTGCAATTTACAGTGTTCTACAAATCCCCTCCTATCTGGCGCGCCAATTGTTTGTGCCACGTAACTGTGCGCTCCGTTTCCCACGCGCCGACTCGTCCGTGCGCTATCCCCCTGCACGCAAAGGCGCCCCTCGAGCCCTTCCCAGGGCTCGTTAGCACTCTGACGCCCAAGTCAGTACTCCGTTTCTAGAGAGAGAAGTGAATAGGGATTCTAGAAAGAATGTCTAACCTGAGTAAATGAGGTTCACCAACCTCCCTATTTATACTAGGGGTCTGGCCGACCAACATCCTTCCCTTCCGCCCTCCGTCAGACCTGCAATTAATGCGCCGTACACTTATGTTCCATTCGCCACGACCATCTGACCTTTTACTCAGAAGACCGAGGCGCATGACATCAACTGGTCCACTCTTCGTACCCTTTCGAGTGTTGGGGGTCTTTGTCGCATGCGCCAGGTGTCAGAATTCTGGCCCCACCTGCCTGGGAGGTATCCTTGCCTTACTGGGCTAACCCCCTTCACGCGCTTAGACCTATTTGATTGGGCTCGTCTCCCTGGCCTGCTAGCTCCCCTCCCTTGGGCCATGGGGCCTGATCTCCTTAGGTCCCAATTATGCCCCCAACAGGGCCTGACTTCCTTGGGCCATAGTTATGCCCCCAACATATTACATCGCAGTATCCTTCACAGAAAGATTGCACATACGAAAGTTGCTCAATCCATTGCATTTTCTCCGGTTGGCAGCGTTTGCTTAACTAACTAATAAAGCAGCGCAAGGCAACACAATCTCTAAGCAGCATGTGAAGCAGCTGATCTTATGATTTTTGTCTGTCAGTGTGCACTAGATATCGACATGTTTACTAAAGTCTGTGACCTGAACATTGTAGAAGCATTTATTCACAAAATGCCTCAATTGGAGAAACTTGCAGTAGTCCCTTCCTGCTTTAGGAGAAGGAAGCAGCGACATGCAATTGCAACCATATCAAATAGAATAAGCCTGATGATGGCGCAAAGTATCGGTACTTGTTGAACTCAACATGGTCAGCCCGGCCCTTGTTTGGCTTAAAATAAGGTTCTGACTGATTCACTCACAGGAAGCCTAGTCTGCCGGAGATGGGTTCTGTTTCAGCGGAGGGAAGTAAAGTATTCCGGCAAGCCAAGTTAAGAAGATAAGAATAGTCGGTTGCTTTGATGCTGTTGTTTTGAGTAAAGGCGGTTAAGAGAATCCCCGCGCTTTTTGCGGCCCTTTAGTAACAGAACAGTTGCGAATAAATAGGAATGTTTGGTCAGAGTTAGTTTTACGTTGTCTCTGTTTTGTTGGTACTCTGCTCTCTCTGTTTTCAATTCAATTCAATTGTGCCTGAATTCTTTTTTCGCTGTCGCTGTAACCTTTTCCCGGCGTTACCAAAAACGTTTCCCCTTTTCCTACCTCTCTCTCTCTCTCTCTCTCTCTCTCTCTCTCTCTCTCTCTCTCTCTAATCGTATGAAAGATTTCTTGCTTGGTTAACACACGACGCCGCCGATGGAGCAGAAGGAAGGTCGGGTCCTATAATTGTTTTTTAGGTACAACGTTGGATTACTGGGTTGCCTTTTCGGTATGTTGTCTTCGCCTGCAGAATTCCTTCCTCCTTTCATCTACAGATTTTCATTGGGTTTTCTCAATAAGGGTTCTATGGTTTCTTGCTCCTCCTCCTGTTCTTCCTAAATTTGAGGTGGTGGCTAGGCTAGGACTTGAGGATCATCAATTTTTTTTTGTTGGTGCACGAAAGGGAAAGATGGAGCAGAATAACGAGGTTTGATGAGGTTGTTGGTGTTTAAGATTCATTGTCCTTCCTTTCGCTTTTGCAACCCATCCCAAAGTATTTGTAGAGGTGAGCAATTGAAGTTTAACAAGAAGAAGAAGAGTATCAGTAATCAAGTGCTTTGCTCAACAGAGCACAAACAATTAGCCGAGGAGGAACGGAAAGAGGTTATTACAAGTAGTAGTAGTAGTAGTGCTGTGGATGATGACGATGAAGGGCTTCAGAGTTGTCTGAGGAGTGGTGAAGTTACGAAAGGGGATGATGCCGAGAGGAACAAGAAGAAGAAAGTGCAGTGGGTGGATTTTGTAGGGAAGCCACTATTTGATATCAGAGAATTTGAACCCAGGTATATCTACATTCTCTTATCTCGCTTCCCCTCTCAAGATTGTTGCTTATATGGATTTTTTTAAGAAAAATATACAAATTTCATTTTTGAGCATCTCACAGAAATTGATGGATTGTCGATGAGATTTTTTTCTGGTAGTTGAAAAGTTTGTATTTGAATCATGATAATCATTTATATGTTTGAGGGAACATGAAAGTGAACAACAAAATATCCATATTTAGACCTCTTCAAACAACTTAGTTATATGGATTAATTTAACACATTGAATACTATTCAACAAGTTGGATTACTTATGTTTTACTTCTTTTTTCTCCGTCGAATATGTTTTAGTTCTTCTCTTCTGCATTAATTCATTTTTGTTAGTGATTCACATCATGAGTTGGTTCATTTTTTTTTTTAAATGTTTAACAGTGACAGTGAAACAGATGAAAGTGAGATCCATGCTCAGATGACCAAAAGGAGCTGCTCTTTATGCTCAATCCTTTGAGCCCTTGTCTCCTTAGACCTTTTGCCAACTGTGGGTTGCTTTGTAAACAAGCAAATAGATTCATATCATGAGATGTTCATCATAATCATGACTAGACGAAGCCACATTCACAGCACTCATTTTCTGTCTTTAACAACAAACAACATTTTATAAAGGGCAGAAAATTTAATATTGATTCAAGAAATCCATGGGATAGTTTTATCTTTCTCATGAGCTCAAATTGTTGTAACGAATTAGTTCTTCCTAATATCTAATAGGAGAAATCCTTTAATGAATCTTTATGAAGCATCACATCATCAAACTAAAATCGATCCAGACATGTCAAGTATCTCGTTCAAAACTGTTAGAAACCCGGTTTCTAACTACCTTGGGATTGGGACTTATTTGTCGGTTTATTATTATTTTGAGGACCTCATGTGTCATTTGTGAGTATTTTCGGATTATTTGGGTATTATCGATTATTAGGAGAATATCGGGTAGTTATAAGAGAATTATCGGATTATATATTCTGTAATCGTGGAATTAGTGGGTTAAGCAATTACAGAACAAGAATTCCCTAACCCTAATCTTCCATCTCTCTCTCTCCTCTCTCGGCCAACTCCCTCTCTTCTCTCCTTTGCTGCCGTCGGCCTCCATCTTGGAGGAGACCACTTCTTCTTCCTCTGTTCATCAAATCACTTTTCCCATTCCCCAATTTCCATATCCCAAATCCATAAATCTCATATCACGTGTGATTACTGGTCTCTACTCGGATTAGTGAACCCTAATCGTGCACGCCTAGATCAAGGTTTCTAACAAAAACAATGAGTAAATAAATTCCAAGAGACCTATTTGATTGAGAGAATTTTTCCAGCTGTTTTTCCTTTCCCTTATAGTTCTTCCTTCATCTAAGGATACTTTTCTTATGAGGCAAAAGAATATAGCCATCAATGCTAACCATAAACTGCATAATTTTAGTTATTCTAAGTAATGGAGAGCTCAAATCAACCAAAATCTAGGCACATAATTTAGACTAACCTGTTGTCCGCTAGTTGACGTAGGTGGAATGCCATACATGTAGCTTCGTGCAGGAGAATGGTTAACGTCGAGACTTGTCTGGCTCTAGCTGGAGATCATTTCGAGGTTAAGTTAGAAAGAGAAAATATAATTTAGGCAGACAGAAAAATCTTGTATATTGTTTGTCAAAAATTCTCATAAGCTTAATAGCAGAGAGTACTAAATTTAGGATCAAGCATAACTGGTAACATTTCATGCTATTCTTGATACAAGATCTATGGCAAGTCTACTAAAGAATGAACCTAGAGGCTCTAGTGGTGCTTAGTGGGACCTTCTAAAGTAGTTGTGACCTATTGAGCTTTCACCTTGGCTCTTGGGTTGGGAGCTGGACTGAACTATCTCCCAGTGAGCCTATGTTAATCCCTACCATAACCTTTTGAATTGTTAAAGGGTGAGTAGATTTAACTCCATCTTCTTATCCTACCCCTTCAACTTTAAGTCAATGGAAAGAAGTGTTTAGGTGGGAACACAACAAACATATGAACCAGAAGCAGAACTGAAAGGGAGTGAAAACAATCAAGGGAAGATAAGTCGCATTAACCCATCATTCTCCACTAGGTTTGTGCCTCCTCTAATCACAATCCTAATAGTAACATAAAGTAGCAAAAGGTAGTGGGTTGGAACTTTCCTAAGAAATAGCACACATGAACAAGTAGAAGAGCTTTCTAGAGTAGTTTCCCGTTTATTATTTATTGTTTGGGTTCAGATTTGGTACCAGCATCACTTATTTAATGGTATACACGTTAGAGTATTAAAAAATGGTTATTTTCTGCAAGTTTATCTAAGAGTTTGTGACTTACATAGAATTCTATAATAAAAAGTGGCCCATAATCAGAAGAATAGCTTACACGTTAGAGTATAAATTCTCCCAATATATAATGGTAGAGTTTAAATAGTTTTTTAGCATTTTGAATTTGCTGAAAGGAAAGCACATTCACAAATGCATTTATGAGTATGAACTCATTTTCGTCTTGTATTTATATATCACAAATTCACAATTGCATAAGCACTAATGTTTGTGTGCTTTCTATTACTATTTAATAATAAATATAGGTTTTAAATAAATAAAATTAGAGCGTTCGCCACACATGATTTTTTATTATTATTTTCATACCAAACATGTGTATGAAAAGCATTTTTCCTGTAGTGCAAATACGAAGGAACCAACAGAGTAAAATCTATTTTTCCTTTTGACAATTTGTGTTCGCGTGTCATAATTGATGTTGTAGAAATATAATTGAATTGAGATTTAGATGAGCAACAATTGTAAACCAATAAACTCGAGCAAGCATTTATGCTACAAGATAGGAATGACCACTTTGCATACATGACCAATTGGATGATTAAAAGTGTCTTGAGTTTCATGTAATAGGATAAGAACCTTTTATGCGAGATATCATCTTGATTGAAAAAACTAAGGAAAATTCATAAGAGGAATATTTTACCAAATCATAAATTACTCACATGAAGTACTAAAAGTTAATTGTTAGTGTTTAGTGTCTTGATTGAGTAGAATTCTATAATAGATTAAGGACTAACCAGTGCTATTAAGATCGTCAGATCATATATCAAATATATAAATAAAAAAAATACTTCATAAATGATGGGTATTAACAACATAAAAACTGCAGCTAAGGATGTCTCATAGCACAATTCACCAGTTGTGTGGAACAAGGAGAAGGGTTGAGGTCAGAGTTCATGGGTGATAGGTTAACATCCTTGTAATATGGTATGAGTTAACTAGAGGAATGTGCAATGAGTACCTTCAAGCCCTGAAGAAATTTTCATATAGATTTCTAATTATGATAAACCTAGGTGCATGATATTACAAGATGTGAAGCTTTAGTTAACTTAACAAATTAAAGCCCTAATAAGAAGAGCAAAATAACTTGAAACCTAGGATTAGGAACACTTGCTAAACTATGTAACTGTCATGCGAAGGAGGTTAACTATTCTTTTGCCGTCCCTTTTTATGCTTTCCTCTTCAGCCATGAGACAGAGGTGAAGAGTTGTACATTTCATCACTTGTTTATGAACTGAACTGAACTGAACACAACACATATACTAATACTATGTTTGGAAACCAAAGTTGAAACTACAAAACTTATTTTTGCAAGCATGCGATGGGAGATGGAGCACGAGCCTGGCCAGCAATAGACAATAGATCCCATGTATGTAATTGTAATGGAAACACACATACACACGCATTAGTGCGAGCAGGAAGCAAAGAAGGATAATCCTGATGCATGGACGAAAGAAAGTTGGGCAAAGGGATGGGAAGGTTTGATTGGTGGGTTTTCAGCAAATGCGCACTAAAACAAAACAAAAGCTCACTACTCGAACTCCTCACAATATAATTTCTCCATTTATTCTTTTCTCTTCTGTAAGGAAATACCTCTGCCAGGTTTTCCAAGGACACCACACCACGACCACGCTAATAAATATCAATTAATATAATACTAACCAATCGAGCCCAGATTAATATCATAATAATTCTCAAACGATCTGATGATTATAATACTAACCTCACATAACATTGGCAGCATCGACTTCAGGGCGCTTTGCCTTCCATACTGCCAGTATGGAAGGCTATCTTCTTTTCCCTTAAGTACTTTCATTGCAGAAGGCTATCTTCTTTTCCCTTTCCTTCATGAACAAATAACTAGAAAAAAAGATTCAAGAGCACCCATCAGCATAGCATTCAGCGTGCCACAAAAAAACTAAATACAAAAAGATGACAAAACAGGAAAACATTCTATGCCATGGTCTTCAAGTTTGGTGTTATGGGGCCCCATTGCTTTCCTCCACAAGCCAAAAGAGCCATCGCCCACCTGTGCACTCAGTCATCATGTCCACTAAGAAAGAAAGAAAGAATTTCTTCTCTTTCATCACTTTGCCTCTCCTTCTCTTCCACACTCAATCGCCATTTAGCATGCTTGCAATTCTCATTTCACAAACCAACAGGATAAACGGCAACTACTGCTTGTTTCTCTTTCTTCTTTTTTACCCATTTTCCTTTTCTCTGTCTGCCTAATCTGGGGAGTACTGAAAACTCAAAAGGCTTGAACTTGGGGCTGGTGGGTAGTTGGAGCTTCTGGTGAAAACAGTGGGTTGCTATTCTTTTGTGCTGCTTGAGCTGTTTTGGCTAAAATGGGTAACTGCTGGTATAGAGGGGAGCCTTCAGTGTACAGAGTCTCATCAAATGCAAAACCAGGTTAATTCATCGTCTATTCTTTCCTGTCCTGTTAAATTTTGATTGTTTGCCTTATCTATCAAGCTGTTGCTGGGTTTTTTAAACCTAGCAGCTAATCCTCATGATGCTAACTACGGTTTTATATACCTCCATGCAACATACTACTCCCTTTTTGTCCTCGGAGTTTTGATCTCCTCACTTCCATGGTTCATCTTAAAAAAACAAAGACTATGGCTATGCCCAATGAAGCTTTAATATTAAGTAGGAAGAAAAAAACTTAAATATTCTTTTATCTTCTATTATAGAAGGGGAGAAAAAAGGCATTTAGCATCTTTTCCAGTCCACCCTGAGCTTCATATTCTCTAACTTTGTCACAAATTCTTCTTTTTTCTTTCTTGGGACTTCTGAGTTCTGACCTTTAAGATTTGGCCATAGATTCATCAGTATCTGGAAGTAAAGCTCTAAAAGGAAGTTTGTAGGTGCCATCTTTTCTGGTGACCCAGTAGAAAAGTTATCCCTATGGTGGGTGGACTAATACATATTGGATTAGCTTCATTGCCTATTAAATATCTTCAGTCTTTCGATGAAAGGATCTGAACATCACCTATGCAAATTAAGAAATTATTATAAATAATGGTATTACCGATATGCTCCTATAATTAGCCTTCTATTCTAGTTTGTCATTCCCAGAAAATGGAAAGTAATCCTCCTTCGTTACATGCATGCATCATTAATGATCGATTCCTCTAGATTAATGGCGGTATGCGAAACAATGGGTGGGTTAATTCATGTGCGAGAAACGAAAATGTACAGAAAAAGAAATCATCATCCAGACCTGATATATTAGCAGATTCTCCAAGAGAGCAATGCCCATCAGAGAAACCAAGGAAGGACATGAGGAAACTGCCGTCGAATCCAGAAGAAGTGGAGGACCTACGTCGTGATTCAGCTGCCAATCCTCTGATAGCATTCACCTTTGAGGAGCTGAAGAAAATGACAAGCAACTTCAGGCAAGACAGGGTGCTCGGAGGAGGAGGGTTCGGGAATGTCTATAAAGGGTCTATAACCGAGGATCTAAGAGATGGGATGCAGCCAGTTGAAGTTGCTGTCAAGGTTCATGATGGTCACAATAGCTACCAGGGTCACAGAGAATGGCTGGTAATAAATTGGGATCTTGGTATGCTAAAGCTTTATAATGTTACCTTGTGAAGCAAGCAACATTGATAACTTTAATTTTGATTGGATTCACGGTTGCACATTTCAGGCAGAGGTCATCTTCCTGGGGCAGCTTTCGCATCCTAATCTGGTGAAGTTGATTGGCTACTGCTGCGAGGATGAGCACCGGGTCCTGATATACGAGTATATGGCTCGGGGTAGTGTGGAGAACAATCTATTTTCGAGTAAGTGGCAGTTGTTCTTATTCCTTTTAGGCAGATAGCTGGAGCGACAAATCAAATTCAAAAGTATAAATGTTCGAATGATAATAGCTGTAGGATCCAAACTGGTGCTCAAGACAGTGAAATGCAGGAGCTAATAGTAATAAAATGTTCTTTTCTACTATCTCTGCAGGAGTATTACTTCCACTTTCTTGGAAGATCAGAATGAAGATTGCGTTTGGTGCAGCGAAAGGACTTGCATTTCTGCATGAAGCTGAAAAACCTGTCATTTACCGCGACTTTAAGACCTCTAACATATTACTAGACGGGGTTAGTTCATTAAGTGAACCTCAAAATTATAAGCATGTGAAATAAGTTTTTCGGTGAATGTTGTTGGTCGTTTTATAGCTCAAGCCTCAAGGTGACCAAACATGATCAACCTCTCGAAAAAAACACACTGCTGCAGTTCAGAAAGTTACATACTATCATGTGAAATAAGTTGCTTACTAAAATGGCTGAGTTTCTACTGTGGTTCTTGAAATTCAGCTGACATCAGCTCCTGTCTGGTTTGACTGAAATAGGAATACAATGCCAAACTCTCGGACTTTGGCCTAGCAAAGGATGGCCCTATGGGAGACAAAACTCATGTTTCCACCCGCATCATGGGAACTTATGGATATGCAGCACCAGAATATATAATGACTGGTGAATTATCTCACACCATTTTCTGGGTTTCTTTTTATGATTCGGCTAATGTACATAATCAGGTCAAGCATTCATTGACTAGATAAAACTAATATCAGATATGGTCAACATGGAGTGAACTTACAATTGATATCCAGCTGTTTGAAAAACTGCAGGCCATCTGACACCTAGAAGTGATGTGTACAGCTTTGGTGTTGTTCTTCTCGAACTTCTGACGGGAAGAAAATCTCTCGACAAATCTCGTCCGACAAGAGAACAAAACCTGGCAGATTGGGGGCTCCCACTTCTGAAAGAGAAGAAGAAATTGCTCAACATTGTTGATCCAAGATTAGAAGGAGATTATCCTGTTAAAGCTGTTCACAAAGCAGCAATGCTAGCATATCATTGCTTGAATAAAAATCCCAAAGCAAGACCTTTGATGCGAGATATAGTTGACTCCTTGGAGCCTTTGCAAGTAGCTGAAGTGCTTCCACACGAAAAAGGCATGGTCACTGTCATAAATGTGATACCTGAGGGTGCTGAGGCTAAAAGAAACGAGAATGCAACATAACTGACTTTGGATTCATACTTTGCTTCTGCCAAGCAACCTTCTCTATTTCGAGTCTTATTAAAGAGTTTCTTTTCCCCTCAGTAGATGGCACTACTCCTTTATGTTCCTATTTTTGTATTGTTTATTATATTTCTGGAGCCCAATGATCAAATGTTATGGTAAATATTAGCAGCTAGATTATATGTAGAAGCAATACGAAGCACAGGGGTTATATATTAGCAAGTATCTGGCTTGTTGATAGTTAGAACATGACAATACGGGGAAAAATAAATGACAATCCAAGAAGACAAGAAGTTACCAAGCAAATGAACAGTTAGACAGAATAGTACACGGATTTCAGGTACAAAACCTCCTTCTGCGGGACGTTGTCAGCAATAGCACTCTTTCTGCATTGATGCAGTGACAGGAGTTCGATTTTTCCCCTTCCAATCTTGCTGGCGAAAAGAAAGCTCCAGCAAGTTGAATACTGGGCATCATTTTGGCACATACCAACAGCTCATGCAGAAGCATCACAATGCTTTACATTCCAACTCCTTTACTTCTCTGCGAAGAAATGGTCTTAGATGAATTTCAATTGAGAAGGGCCGGCTAATGCCAATGATCACATCCTAATCACAGGAATGTACTATGGAAAAAGGCGATCTTCAAGGACAATCCTCTCCTGTACAATCATGGATGACTTCAGCAAGATATCATTCCTAAAAAGAATCAACCTTTGGAATGTAACCTTCCTTCCTCATCTGCTCATTGAGAAGTTGGTACATATATATTGATTGAGCAGGTAAACCATCACCAGCATGAAATTCATGGACGCTAGATTCGATCTCGATCCAGCTGCAACCTGGAGTCTTACTAACACCCCTTTCTCTCATCAAGACTCTCACCTTTGCTGACTCATCCCACTTTCTCATATTGGCATATATCTTAGATGATATGACATAGTTTCCTGAATTTGATGGCTCCACCTCTAGAAGAAGTTTAATCACCCGGTCGCTGATATCTATGTTTTTCTTCTTCTGACAAGCAGCAAGCAATGCTCCAAGCACAATTTCATCGGGCTTTCCAGGCATCTTCTCTATAATTTCCCAAGCTTCATGCAGATGACCAGCACGAGCCAAAAGATCAACCATACAAGAAAAGTGCTCAATTGTTGGGACAACCCCAAACGATGGATTCATCACCTCAAAAAACTGATGCCCCTCATTGACCAATCCACCGTGCACACAAGCAGAAAGTACTGCCACAAATGTGATCTCATCCGGTCGGGGAGCACCATTATCCCTTGTCATGCGCCAAAACAAAGACAAGGCCTCTTGGGGCCGGCCATGGAAAGCAAGGGCAGAAATCATGGAATTCCAGGACACCTCATTTCTGTAAGGCATGCTTTCAAAGACCCTTATTGAATCGTCCAAGTTACCACACTTTGCATACATATCAATCAGTGCACTTGCAACATAGATATCATGATGCAAGTTTCTTTCTGAGGCGTAAGTCTCAATCCATTTTCCTAAGTCAAGTGCTCCTATAGAAGCACACGCGGAAAGAACCCCAACCATTGTGATTTTGTTTGGACTGATACCTGCATCTCTCATTGCATCAAACAGTATGATTGTCTCATCCGATTCTCCATTCTGTGCATAGCAAGTGATCATAGCATTCCAAGCAACAACATCTTTCTTCATCATTGCATCAAAGACCCTCCGAGCAGCTATCAAATCCCCACATTTCCCATACATGCTAATTAAAGCAGAGCCAATATAGGAGTTAAACTTCATCTTCCTATCACGAACAAAAACCTCCACCGACCTCCCCAAATCCAGATTCCCAGAGTCCCCACAAGCCCCAAGAACGCTAACCAACGTCATCTCATTTGGGTCAATCCCCTGATCTTGCATATCCATAAACAACCTCACCGCCTGCCTGCTAAAGCCCATCTGCGAATACCCAGAGATCATGGAATTCCACGACACTAAATCTCTCACAGGAATTTCGTCGAACACTTTCCGGGACCAACCCAATTGACCACACTTTGCATACATAGTAACCAAAGAGTGAGCGACATGGTCATCCCCGTCCAGACCAGTCTTGAAAACCATAGAGTGGGCGGATCGCCCACAATCCAGAGCTAGAAGATTGGCACAGGCGATGAAGAAGAACGGGTAGGTGAAATTATCGGGGAGAAGGCCGGAAATCTTCATCTGGTAATAGAAATGCAGCGCCAAAGAGTAGTTGTGCCAGGTAGTGGTAAGGCCGCGGATCATAACGTTGAAGGCGTAGTCGTTGGGTTTTGGAAGATGGGTGAAGAAGAGGAGAGCATAGTGGAAGTCCTTGAGGAGAATGATTTTGGGGAGGAAGAAATTGGGGTGATGAACAGAGTTTAGAAGCATTTGAGCGTGGATCTGTTGGAGTGGCTTCAATGACGCACAGTTGTTCAAGAGGGAAAAGAGCTCCCGAGAAAGGGATTGATAATCATGGGCATGGAAGCAGAAATGGCGTGGCTTTGAAAAGCCGAGATGGCGGGAGATTGGCGGGAGACGGAAGAGCGTCACTCGGAGCATGGCTCTGTGCTGCTTGACTTGGGTTGGGTGTGTACAGGTGACCCGTAACTTCGCTAGTCGCTACTCTGCTTTATAATCGCAAGTGTAACAAAATAGTCATTAAACTTTAAATTGCAACAAATTAGTCACTTAAGATTTTTCTTTTACTGAAAAGAGGATGAGTCCTAACTTTTATTAATCGGCTAAAAGTGAGGTTGTTTAGATGGATCAATTGTAAAACGAGACAATTTGACTAATTATTTCATTTTACAAAATGAGTCATTTAAAACAAGTCAATTCAGATTACTTGCCCCACCCTAGACAATTGTAATTGGCTCCAAATGAGTCAATTCAAAATGCAGCCCAAATTGCTTCATACAAATTTTATGCTGCTAAACGGATCAATCTGATCCAATTATCTCAAAACGAGACAATTGTGTCATATTAATCCATTAGAATTCATCATCCAAACGACCTTTTAGATCATTCTCCATATTTGCAGTAATAAGTGTAACACCCTAGTCATTTATTTTTTTTTCACCATTAAGAATTTAAGATGATATTTAACGGGAATGCTTAGGTATGATGAGATCATGGATGTCATAGGAATCTTTTGGAAATGCTTAAGGCATACATGGGTGGCAGCGGATATGGTGACAACACCATATTTGTTGTTATTGTAACAACACTAGTTTCCAATCAATAGGAATCTAGGATTGTGATGACTTTTTATTAGCTTAGTTGACCTAGTGTAAAATCAAAACAGGGGTATAATTGTCATTATGAAAAATATGTTTAAATAATAATAAAAATATAAAAAAAAATATTTTCTGCTAAAAATTTTGGTCGCCGGAATTCTGCCACCGGTCGCCGGAAACTGGCAGACGGTCACCGGAATATGCCTTTTGTCGCCGGAATATGCTATATGTCGCCGGAATATGCTTACCGGCGTCGAAATATGCTTACTGGCGTCGGAATCTAGTTATCGGGGCCGGAATATGCCTATCGGCGTCAGAATCTGCTCGCTGATGGTCATCGGAGTTCGGTCAACGAAATTCGTTGACGGGTCAACGGCCAACGATCACCGGATGTTATGGTTAGCATTATGAGATTTATGGTTTGGTTTCTCAAATTTTTTATGCCTTTTGTGGTTTGCTTTATCGCATTTGTGGTTTGCATTCAGAAGTTTCTTGTTTGCTTTCAAAAACTTTGTGGTTTGCATTGTGAGGTTTTTTGTTTGTTTTAATATATTTGTGGTTTGCATTAGGACGTTTATGGTTTGTTTTTTTGTGGTTTGATTTACTGTGTTTGCGTTAGGAGGTTTCTGGTGTGCTCTCGCAAATGTTGTGGTTTGCTCTGTGAGGTTTGTGGTTTGGTTTAGGAGATTTGTGGTATGCGTTAGGAGGTTTCTGGTTTGTATTAAGAAGTTTCTGGTGTGCTTTCAAAATATTTGTGGTTTGGTTTGTGAGGTTTATGGTTTGTTTTAATATATTTGTGGTCTGCATTAGAACGCGTTTGGATTTCTTTACCGCGTTTGTGGTTTGTATTAGGGGGTTTCTAGTGTGTCTATAAAAATATTTGTGGTTTGCTTTTTGGAATTTTGGTCTGTTTTAGGCAATTTGTGGTCTGGATTAAGAGGTTTCTGGTATGCTTTACGGAATTAGTGGTAAGCATTAGGGATTTCTGGTATGCATTAAAAATACTGAATGGCTAAACATTGCACTAATTTTATTATTATCGCACTAATTTAAAGTATACAATTACTCTTACTAAAAAAAGGAATACAATTACTAAAATTTCCTTTAACACAACCAAAATTGACAAAACAAACAAAGCCTTAAATCCCTAAATAGTCATCTTCGTCAAAACAGAGCGGCTAAACTCCCTCCGTCGCTGCACTCCAAACGATTTCGCCGACAGGCGATCACCTCCAACCGACCCTTCACCGCGGACAACGCCCCTCCTCTTTCTTGCCGCCATCATGGTCCTCCGTCAGCACCCCCCTCCTCTATATTGCCGCAATTGGGCATGGTTCAATCATGAAGTTGTGGGTGATCAGGATTTTGAAATCCTACGAACACAGTGGTTGGCGGTGGGAAACACCGTGGGGGGGGGGGGGTTGAGTTTGATTTTTACCGAGACCCAGAACAACTTGATTATGTTGAGAGAAGTGGATGATTTGGCTAAATCGTGGCTGGATGGTTGCTGAATTTATCGAGCAGTCAGAGGGCCCAGATCAGTGGCGATTGCAGAGGAAGGGATCGAGTAACCCTTAATATGCTTTTTATACCAATATTCTTTATGGGGTTTGTACTTGAGTTAAAAAAAATTTAATTGAGGGAGGTCCAGGATATGGCTTTAATTTAATTTGGAGATTTTTAAAGATGTATTTTTAATTTTAGAAATTGTTCGAACATTTGTTTTAATTAAATAAAAATAATTCTGAGGAGTTTATAAGGATTTGATAATTTTCCAGGGTATAAGTACTCATGATTGATGTAGGAAAATTATTATCTGAATTTTTAAGAAGGTTCAAGTTAGGTGGAAAATTCGCCCAAGACTAAAATAATTAGGAAAAGTGGTCGGTTTTGAAGGGATTGTTTTTAGAAAATTTTTAAAGGGGGTTAACGGACCTTGGGAGCGAGTCTCGAGGACTGGATGTTGAGGAGAGGAGGTTCTAGTGACCCAAAAGGGAATTCTAAATCGAGAAAGGTCGACTAAGGAGATGACTTTCTTATTAATAGGTTCACCGAGATAATTCAGATAGGAGGGTTTTCTTCGAGTAAGGAATCGAGAAGTCATCTTTACAAGGTGAGTGTAAAGGGGGTAAATTCTACACCTTACGTGTTCTTTCAAGAATTACAAGTCTTGAGTATTTCGATGAAGTGAATGTCGTTGTTTGATTGTGCTTATGGTTGAAGATATGTGATTTTGTTTGAGCTATGCTTGATGTGAATGTGTATGAGTTCTTATTTAAATTTAAGCTTTAAGTTTATAAGTTATTGTTAAAGTTAAGAAACAAGTTCTTTTTAAGAGGTAACTCGCCTCCAAGAAGGTGAAGTCGTTTTATGTGTTTTTAGTCACTAGCGCCAGTCCGTTGCTTTTGAGACATTTTGAGATAGAGCAGCAGTTATGCTCTGGAGACTGTTAAGATGGGCAGCAGTTATGCCCTTGAGAATCGTGGTGAAGAGCCACCACGATAAGTTTAAGATATTAGGGGGATGAATTGTTACGACTTCCCTAACTAAGTTTAAGTTTGAGGAAAGCCTGAATGGCTTCTCATACGTATGATTTGGCAACCGGACTAGCTAGTGAGGGATCCCTGTGTCAGTCAAAAGATTTAAGTCAAGTTTTGAGCTTTAAGAAGGGAGAGTAACTTTAACTCCCGAAGAATTTTATGAGTTAAGATTGTTAAGAGTGGAAGTACAAAACGGCTTCCACTAGTAGAAGTTAAGTGTTTAGAGATGAATACTAAAGTACTTTAGATTTTAACGTAAGGGCGTAGACTGACCCCAACTCACTCACCAGATCGTAGAGGAGGAAATCCTAATCAGCCAGTACGTGATCAGCAAGCTAGAGGAGCTCAACACCATCGTGGCTGAGAGATGTCGAGCCAGGCATCAGAGTAAGCATAGGATAACCTTTTTCAAGTTATTAAGACTTTATGGTTAAGAGTTAAAGAATGGAGATTCATTTCTTTTGGATGATTTAAGTTTTGCCCACGTGTTTAGGGCTTCAAATGGAGATATTGAGATATTTGAGTTTGGTATTTTATTTAAACTTGGGTTATTTGAGATTTTTAATTATACCCCGGGGTAGAAATGTCTTTTTCCAAGTTCAAAGAGGTGGGATGTTTCATTACCTTTATACCCTTAATGAATCATGTTGTTATACTATCCGGACCCTACATGGGTCACCAATGATAACTTGTTATTGTGCATATGGATTAATCCGTGTGCACCTACACAATCCACCCATATTGCCTATTGGGCCACGTTGGCATGGGGGATTGGGGAGCTCCCATTGGCTAGTTGCCAAAATGGGCCCGGTTCGGGTTGAGGAGCCGCAGATGGAGCTGACTCTTGGCATAAGCCCCTTGGCGTAGGGGTGTGTGGGGTCCGCCAGGTGAGTGAAGAAGGTTTGGGTGGGGTCGGATTGTGAGAGAAAGGGTTTAGGAGTGTGTTTTGGCTGGATTTTGGGAGGAGAGAGAGAATGAAATTTCCCCCCTCATTAATATGCTCACCTACCAGCTTCTCTCTCTCATGCCTTTCTCTCCTCTTTATTTTTTTCATCCGCCATTGAAGAGAAGAAGAAGAAATTCCAGATCCTAGGTTTGATATCGGAGCTACCATGGATGTTCCACTGGAGGTGGGTCTTGGAACCCAGAAAGAGGATGTTGGCCAAAATCTTTACAACGATGTTGCTGATGATCTTAGCGAGAATGCTGACAATGATGTCGAGGATACTTCCGATGATGCTGCCGAGGATATAGCTGATATCATTCTCAATGAGGATATTCAGAATACATGTGACGGATTGTGGGGCTCGCAAGAGTGGAAGGCTGTCGTTGAAGAACTAGAAGGGGGTATGTTGAAGAACAAAAAAAAAGAATCATTTTGATGTTGCTTTTTCTTTATATATGTTTTAGGTGGTGAAGCATTGAATGCTTCTGTATGGTTGGATTTTAGGGTTTTGCATTTATTGCGTTTGTTCTGCACAATTTATGGGTTCTTAGTATGTTGAATATTTGTTCGTCTGTTTTTAATAATACTTAAGTATTTCATAAGTATGTTCAGGCAAGTATCTTTTGTAAGTGCATGAATACTTGTTCATGCGTGCATGAATATGTTCTGAATACTCCAGAACATGAACAGAACCATTTGGGTGTGAGTGCATGAATACTCCAGAATGAGTATTACTTAACTAGACCAATAATATTGCTTGACATTTGTGTGAATATTATAGTGCATGTTTAAGAATATTTGTTGTTGATTGAGTGAATGTTGGTTGTGAGGACATGAGTTTCTAAATTTGGGCTATATTACATGTTTGGTCACTCAAATTGCATAAATCTTTCACGTTTGCCACCCGAATTAATTTTCTTTCATATTAGCCACTAACTTTACGATCTGTTTCACCGTTGGTCACCGACCGTTAGTCTCCGTTAACTCCGTCAGTTTTTTGATGATGTGGCAAACGGAACTGCTGACTGGACCGACATGTGAATTTAACAAAAAAAAAATGCCAAACGGCAAATTAGTTCTGACCGCTGACTCAGCGGAAATCGCCACACAGTTCACCCTCCTACTAACCTATCTCGACACCACCTGGTTCAGATTCTCGCCGGTTAAATTAATCTAATTCTACAAACCCACCCCCGACATCCCAAGCTATCCTCGTTTCTTCTACTCAGTGCTTCTCCCCAAATTGAAGCACTCTCTCCCCCAAACGCTCGCCCAATTCCTCCCCCTTGCGGGCCAACTCTAGTGGCCGCCACAGTCTTTAACCCCAATCGTTACCTACATTCTAGGAGACGTCGTCTTCGTCAAGGTCGCCGACAACTGCAAACCATCGAATCGCCGCCGCCTCCTTCTAATTGGTGGCTACCGACGTTCCGGCCGCCGCTGCCGCTCTTCATCAGCATTTCGTGAAGCAATCTATGCTTCATTGCTTTGTGGTAGCAAGATCCCTAATTAGTAAATCCAAAAAAACCCTAGTTACAGTATCAATCCCTAAATCAAAACAATTCCCAAGCAAAATCCCTAATTGCAAGCCCATCGACGATGCATAGAGAGAGCTACAAGGCACTATCATTTTTCCTTTTCTCCTGTGTCCTTCGAGTGGAGGAATTGGAGATGGGAGAGGGAACTGCGAATGAGGAAGAAAGAAAGAGCGAGAGTTTGTGTAGGAACATAACTTGGGCGTATATGCAAGAGAGCAAAGCAGTAGTCAGCGATCTTCTCTTTTCCTCTGCTATCCCCCACCTAGGTCGCCCATCCGATACCACTGGCCTTGCCTCCCATTGCCTGCTCTGACATCGTCCAAAATTGGAAAGGAGGCCCAAAATCGTGCCACCTGCTCTGCTCTCTTCGCGATACAAAAAGAAGAAAAAGGTTGTCCTCCTCCGTTGGAAGACTCTCGCCTCGCCGGAGATGATGTTGCAGCGGCAGAAGAACTAGACGGGACCTCAAAGTGAAGACTCCCATTTTGGGCAAAGAAGTGGACAATACCCACCATATAATTATTATTTTTTATTTTTTTAATTGACATGTCATTAAGTTAACGGTATAGTCAGCAATTTCGTTTGCCACATCATCAAAAATCTGACGGAGTTAACGGAGTCTGACGAAGACTAACGGCCGGTGACCAACTGTGAAACGAATCGTAAAGTTAGTGGCGAATATGAAAGAAAAGTAATTCTGGTGGCAAACATGAAATATTTATGTAATTTGAGTGACCAAACATGTAATTTAGCCCTAAATTTGTTTACTCTAGATTCAATGGCAGCCTATGCAGTAGGGGTGGGAAACGCTTTGATCCGGTTAAACCGGACCGGATTAACCCGATTTTTTTGAAGCCGTATTGACCAAAGCTGCAACTGGAAATTGGATTGGATGGAGACCCGGTTTCAACCGTGACCGGACTGGGTTGGATTCGGTCCGGTCCGGTTTCAACCAAAAAACTGGATATTTTCTTTACCCAAAAAACGCCACCGTTTAATCCATTTTCTCTCCCAAAAGCAAAAAAGCAAGCATCCCCACCCCACAATTGCCAAATCTCTCTCTCCCTCCCTCTGTCTTGTTTCTCTCCCCTCTCACATTGAATGATTGAAGAGTGACGCCGATAGAGAGTTCTCTCCCCTCTCACCCACCGACGCAACCATCGCCACCATCCCCGCATCTTCCCTGTCGTCGCAGTCGCCATCGTTGCCATCCCCGAATCATCGTCGCCATCGCCTCGTCTTCCCTCTCTGTTTCTCTCCCCTTTCACTTGTTCTTGCTTCGTTGTTGACTTGTTGTTGTTGCATGTTTCGATCTGGGCAAGATCGAGACTGAGGGTGCAGATCGAAGGCGGTCTCAAATCGGATGGTGAGACTGAGAAGAGAGAGGGACCAGATCAGGTGCGATTGAGATGTCGCCGCCAGTTTTAAAGCCGTTTTGAGATGTCGCCATCACCATCGTTTAACCGGGTTGCATGTGCGGAGAGACGCTCCTCAAGGGCTGGGTTGAGATGTCGTCGCCTCTGACTGAGTCTTCATCGGCCAGAGACTGATGCGGCCGGAGGGAGAGCAGAGCGAACGAGGATTGGAGAAGAGAGAACGAGAAGAAGAGAGTAAGCGGCGCTGTGGCAGAATGGAGGTGATAGATTTGTTAGGGTTTTGCAGGCTCTGGGCCCTGGGGGTGTTTTGCGGGCTGAGGGATCTGGGCCCTGGGGATGTTTTGTGGGCTGTGAGTTGCGGGCTCTGGGCTATTAGACAGTCACCCGGTTTCCAGTTAAAACCGGACCAAATTGGACCGCGACCAGGCCGGTTTTTTACTCATAAGCTCCGACCGCAAACTGGATTGGGTAAGCTGCTATTCGGTTTCCGGTTAAAACCGGGTCGATTTAAATTGGACGGTTTCCAGTTTGACCGGAAAACCGAGACCGGATTTCCAGCCCTACTATGCAGCACTAGAAGATGAAAACTTAAGGAGGAACTTGCAATTCAAGATAGTGCAAAACTGTTATGGGTTCTATTCAAGCTATGGTCGAGGTTTTAGTGTGCGAAAACATAACGAACACACGAAGAAGTTCAAGAACAACAAAGGTGAGTTGGAGGAAAAGTATTGGTACCTTTACTATGTATGCAGCAAGAAAGGGTATTTGGTCAAGAGTACTATAAAGCCAAATGATGTGAACAAACGGCCGGAGGACGATGTAGTTGTTAAATCAAAGCCGAAAAGAAAGAGGCAACAACTGAGGTTTGGGTGCGAAGCTCGTGTTGACTTTCGGTGGGATATAAATAGGGATGCATTTGTGGTGACTGCATTTGTAGGAATACACAATCATAACTTGCACTGTAAAGAGCACTCAAAATTTATGAGGTCTAACAAGTGCATTAGTGAGGCTCAAGGTCTAATGGTTGAAGCCAACGCTGATGCTGGGGTTAGTTTGACCTCCTCTCACAAGCTATTGGCCTTGTGTATGGGTGTGTACGAAAATCTTACCTTCTCAAGGAATGACCAAAAGAACCACCTAAGCAAGAGAAAGGAAAGGAAGATGGCACACGGTGAAGCTACTTATTTGTTGAACTACTTTCAGGAGCAACTTGAAGGGAATGCTGGCTTTTATTATTCCATGGAAGTAGATTGTGATGAGCAAGTTGCCAACATACTCTGGGCAGATGCTACGATGTGGGCTGATTATAAACTATTTGGTGACTCGGTCTCTTTTGATATAACAAAAGTGTACCGTCCATTGGGTATGCATTCACTTTTGCTGTATGAATATTATCTGGAATATGTGAATACTATCCTGAATTATACGTTGAAAATCTTTAATGTTGGTCTGAAACTTGTGAATATTACTATGGACCATAGGAATGTTAGTCTGTAACTTATGAATATTAGTCTAGATGGTTTGCGTACTTTCTATTTCTTACGTTTGAACATGTGTTTTGTAGGATTGTTTGTTGGATTTAACCACCGCCGACAAACTTGCATCTTCGGTGCTTGTTTGTACGAGACTAGTGCATCCTTTGAGTGGTTGTTCAACGCTTTTCATATTTGCATGCAACAAAAACTTCCAACCACGATCTTCACCGATCAGGATCCAACCAAGCCATGGCCAAAGCACTTCGGACAATGTGGCCTGACGTGTTTCATGCATTATGCACGTGGCACATCTTAATGAATGGGAAGAAATGGTTTTGGAAGGAGAAGAAACTGTGGCGTAAGGTTTCACTTCACCTATCAATATTATTCTACAAAATTGATAGAGACTGAATTTCAGATTGCATGAAAGGATATGCTTGATGAATGCTTCACAGGCAGTGACTTTGTGGATGGTCATCCGTGGTTGCAACAACTTCTAAAATTCAAGCAACAATGGTCCTCATGATGGCTTAGAAGCCAGTTCACCGCTGGTATGTTGACTACTCAAGCCAGCGAATCTTGCAACGCATCAGTGCGACATTTTCTCAAACCAAACCACCAGCTGGATCATTTTTCACACACTTTAATAGGTGAATGCGTGTGCATTCAAGTTTCAGTTTCTTTGAATTTACTTTCAATCTTCCTGAATACTAGTTACCAAGGTCGTCAATACTAATTTGTATATTTTCAATTCCAGCTTGCTGGCAGATAAGAGATACAAGGAGAGAACAAGTGATTTTGAAGCCCGTGATCAAGTTCTCTCCATCTCCTCGCCACACAGCAGGATTTAAAGCAAGCTGCTAAGGTTTACACTCCTTGCATGTATAGAAGGTTGGAAGAACAGTTTGAACAAATGGCTGACTACGAACTTAACCCATACTCTAGTGGAAGGGATGACGGATTGATTGGGTACAACACTTTCTACACCAGAGATGGAGATGACATTTGTTGGAACGAGCGTGTTGTTTATATTGATGTGCCAAATTCACGACTAGAATGTAGTTGTATGTTGTTCAAATCCATGGGAATAGTATGTCTCCACATGCTGAAAGTGATGGCCATGCTTGGAGATTTTGGCAATGAAGCCATGAAAACTTTGCCAGACCATTACATATTGAAGCGATGGACCATAGATGCAAAGAAGAAAGAGGTTGTCGAGTCCTCAACAAGTGTCGTCGATGACGAGGGAGCAGGTAACGTCACAAGTAACATCAAAACTCTGAGATATAGAGAGACAACTACCTTGTTGAATAAGCTTGCGACAAAGCTTTATGTTGTCGGCGATGACCTTTATGAAAAGTGGTTGAAAGCACTATCTAAAATGTGCAAGTCAGCAGACCATGCCTTGTCGAGATCCATAACAAGTGAAAATGGTAAGCTTTTTGATATTATTTCGCATTGTTAAGAATATTTCTTAGTCTGTTTCTGAATATCCTTTGCATGCAGCAGAGGGGTCTCAGTTGTACGTGGCCACCGGGCGTGCCGCCCACGGGCTAGCACGGCACGACACAGTTAGAGCACGGCACGAGCACGGGCACGAAATAAATTGGCCAGCCCGGCAAGAGCACGAATAATTTATGGGCCGTGCCGGGCCTAAACTTCATGGGCACGGGCACGGGCACGGCACGGTATATAAGTGGGCCGTGTCGGGCCTAATATTTTCGAGACTTTATTGAGTAAAAGAACGGACATGGTACCAAAATAATATTTATTTGATAGAAAATAAATATGAAAAGAATTATAGGTTTAAATATTACAAAACACAAGTAGAAAAATAATTATTTGTTGTTGTTAGAAGTGTCATAAAGATATATACGTAATTACTAACATAAGTAAAAATGGACAAAGAATTAAACAAAGCCAAATCACACTCGCTATACTTCCAATTTTCTTTTCCCGCTTATTTGTTACTTTTCTCAAACATTATCGGTTAATACTATCTTCCCCCGTCCAATTTTCACCTTCTTTTTCATTCTCTCTTTTGTTTTCGTCATTTTCATTAAACACGAATACGAGCATGGCACGAGCACGAATAGGCACGACACGATTCGAACCGTGCCCGGGCCTGGGCCGGACCTAGAAAATTAACAAATGGGCTTGCATGGCACGACACGAAAATTGACGGGCCGTGCCAAGCACGACACGAAATAAAAGGGCCCGAAGCGTGCCCGTGTCGTGCCGGCCCAAGCACGGCCCAACACCCATGTACAGTCTCAGTCATTTAGTGGACTAAAATTCAAGCCGAAACAGAATCCACGTAGTCATGGCACTGAACGGTTTAAGTCAAAGAGGGAGAAAGCCCGCGGTAAGAAGAAGATCCAGTACACAAAGAAACTTATGGAGCTTGAGATTCTGTCGCAAGTTGCCGATTCACAAGTTGGTGATGGGGAAGATCAGAAAGATGACATCATAGATCTAGTTATGCAGACTTAGTAAATGGTTAGGTTTGTCCTCTCTAACGGAGTACTTTTGTGAAATGAAGAAATTGTGATATGATGTGTTACTTTATAACATATCATAGTGCAATTGTTAACATTACTATTAAGGGCCTTGTGCTACCATATTATGTATGTTTCATACTCGTATTTGGCAACTAGTAAGGTATTTCTAACAGTTATTAAAGATATGTTCTAGTAATATTTGTTAGCAATGAACAAGTATTCGGTTATCAACCGCTAAATGTCATTGGTTCTAAGTTACTTGGATAACTTACTAACTGTCTACCTTCCCAAGATAATTACACAATCTTTGATTTATAAAATATTCTCCCCCTTGGCCTTCCCATCCTGGCTCCTCTAGTCTTCAACCCATTTTAGTACTTCATCTTTCACTTAGTTCTTGTCCCACATAATGAGCCTTAATGCAATCAGTGTACGTTGTAGCTCAACGTGTGCATCAGTTCTCTAGGAGGTCTTGCAAGAAACATCCAGGTGTCTGTCCCAATGTTCCAAGAAATGACACGCAAAGGTCTCGCATTTATTGTTGCCTCTTTGTTGCGGGACGTCAGCTACACTAAAGGGCCATTGATCTAACCTGCATTCGAGACCTTTCTTCACCAGCAAAACAGAAGCATATGCGAACACTTGTTTGGATTCAGGGGCACGTTTAGACTTGGCAACATGCTCCGAGGGTTTTTGGCTATCCAACAAGAATGTTTGCTATTTAATCATGTCGGCATCATAAACCCGGTAGTAGTCGACATCAAAGCATGGAAAGAACATTTGTTACTGAAACACATATTCACTGATCATAATCGTTTTAAACACCTAGACTAATATTCAAGACTTATGAAGTCATATTAAAATAGCCCAGGTCATCCTTCAAAAACTCGGGATGCCCTGTGCTGCTCTGCCCTTCTTCTCGAACAAATGCACCAAACCTTTGTCGGACTTCATCTCTTGTCAACAGAGAGAGATAAGTGACGGGAGAGATTTTAGTGAGAGAATCGAACCTGCGTAAATGCCACCTACCGAGCACTATTTATACCTTCAGAGGTTCCGACCAAACTCCTGAAATTCAGCCCTATGTCAACGGGGCAATAAATGCTCACTACGGCCCAGCGTCCAGGCGCCCCTACGTGGAATCCCCTTGGTCTTCCTGTCGGGGCGCCTAGAGGGGACCACAACCCACAAGTGTCACCCTTCTGACCTCCTCTTTCTGTACTAATTTGTCTTCATGACTCCTTTTTTCACTATGCGCCCTCCCTCTACGGATCTGCCTTAGTGATCTTCTTTTTCACCAGCCTGGCCTATATTTCCCTAGGCTCCCGGGTGGGCTCGGCCCCAATTTGGGTTTATGACAATTCAATGGGCTTATTTATGTTGTCCCAACAATAAGTGGAATATTAGGTGCTAATTTATGCACTTAACATATCTTCCTTATCTTTTCCATATCATTTCTTCCACTCCATCATTCTTCCACCCCTTGCTCAGAAAATCTAGAAACCAAAGAAACAAGAGAGAGACCAAAGTTAGTGAGTTAGAATTAGAGTTAGAGAAAACGAAAGGAAAGAAAAAAGGGGGAAAGCTAGAAACTCTGAGGTAAGAAGCAAGGCGGAGATTCATTTAAAGGCAAGGAAATCACGGAGTGACTATAAAAATAAGAGAGTAGATTATAACCGTAAATATATATCAATGCAATGTGGTATTTGGTTGTCAAAAAAAACAAAAAACAAATGTGGTATTTGGGTCATGAAGCGGCTTGATACATATCATAGATAAAGAGGTAATCGGGTCATGAAGCGGCTCGAGTATGAATCATATGAATACCGACTGAGTAAATGTGGATGCAATGAGATATGAATAGAATGGCTATGATATGATAATTATGTGATGAATATGATGGTGATTATGTGATGATGAATGTGTGATGAGTGGGGATGGCCGCTTGAATGGCCAAAGTGATTGATCATGTAGTTATGTTAATGCATGATATTGATAGTGTGATTGTATTGATTGTGATTGATTATTAGTGTAATTTCATTATTACTAAATACAAATTAAATGACAGTATGCTATATACTCAGTGCAGTAGACGATTACTAATAGCTGGTTGGGAGCAACTCGCACAACAAAGTGTTGATAGCCGGTTAGGATCAACTCCTACCGCACTGTACTGATAGTTGGTTAGGGGCAAACCCTTTGGCAGATTATTGATAGCCGGATGGGAGCAACTCCCACGACAGATTTACTAATAGTCGGGCTGGGGTAACCCCGCGACAATGATATTATAGTGATGTCTGGTCAGGACAACCCTGCGGCTGACGTCTACTAGACTACGACTACCTGGGGAGTGTATAGCATAGCAATTTAAAATATTAAAAGTTACCTAAGCAACCTAACCCTTGCATGTGATTGTGAATTGTGTATTGGTTTGTTCTCTGGCATGATGGTATATAAATATGATGATAATGATGCTTAGCATCATTGACGAGTCAAGTGATGTGGATTGTGATCACTTGTAAGTGGATGAGTTAAGGTGTTCTAGCAATGAAAAGTGATTGAATGTCATAAGATGTGTATATGTCGTGTGATGCTATGATCGAATACCGAATCATGAAATAAGGTGCTTTAGTATTGTAAATAGTGAATTATGAAGTGAATGCCATAGAATGACCAAGAGATAATTCGCCCATCGATGGCAGTGATTGTGAATTGATACCGAATGACAAGTAATGGAATTATAAGCATCAGGAGTGAGTAGTATATGATATGTAGTTAATGAATGGCATACTCAATATTGTTTTGTGCGTTTTATTTATTTAGATTTATAATTTACTCATTGAGCGACAACTCACCTTTCGTCAAATATTTTTCAAAATTCAGAACAGCAGTAAAGTAAAGTAGAAGTAGAAGCAGGGACTTAGAGCTTGAAGTGATAACCATGAGGTGGGTGGAGGTCTGAACGACTTGCACATGTTTATATTGTGTTTTGAAAGGGGATTATGAACCTCTCCGATGGTTCTGATTCATATATATATATATATATATATATATATATATATATATATATATATATATATATGGTGGCTACTTCGGTGCACTTACAAAAATGAGTGCATTCAATGCACCCAACTCTAAAAGTAGCCTTAAGACATCAATTTTTTATTTTAATTGGTAAGATTAGTGTAATATGATAATATAATATAAGATCACAACTAATCAATGCATTACCCTAAGTCCTAAACCTTCAATTTTGAACTTTTGCCCTAAACCCCAAATCATGAACCATAACCCTAACCCTAAATCTATAAATCATAATTTCTTCAAATTAATGTAAATTTTGAATAATTTTTGTGCTAATTCATGGGGTTTCTTTTTCATCGTATCATACGTGATGATTAACATTGTTTTGACATGAATCGCATGCTCATAATGACAAATATGAAGCGAGTGCATTGAATGCACCAAAAAATGTGAGTGCACCGAAGACATAACCATATATATATATATATATATATATATATGGTGGCGTCTTCGGTGCACTCACTTTTTTTGGTGCATTTAGTGCACTCGCTTCATAATCGTCATTTTAAACATGAGATTTATGTCAAAATGATGTCAATCATCACTTATGATTTGATGAACAATAACGCACATGAATTTGCACAAAAACCATGAAAGATTTGCTTTAATTTGACGGATTTAGAGTTTAAAGATCTAGGCTTAGGGTCTACAGTTTGGGGTTTAGGGATAGAACTCAAAATTAGAGGTCTAGAGCTTAGGGTAATCCGCTAATTAGTTGTTATCATATGTTATATCATCATATTATACTAATTCTACAAATTAAAATTCAAAATCCGACTCCTTGAGACTAGTTTTTGAGTTGGGTGCATTGAACGCACTCATTTTTGTGAGTGCGCCGAAGTAGTCACCATATATATATGGTAGTGTTCTGGAAATGGTGTTACAATAAACAAAGGGGTAGGGATGGCAACAAAACCCGAACCCACGGGTACCCACCCGACCCAATCCGGTCAACGCGGGTAAAATCCGTGTTGACGGGTTTTGGGCCAGGTTTGGGTTTAAACCCGTTCACTATTCATTGAGTTAGGTTGGGTTTAGGTAAACCCGACCCTTGGGTACCCGCTGACACCCATATAATTCATTTTCTCGGTATATTTAATATTCTAAACAACTAGTCTTATTTATGTTTGTGGAGACATGTTTAATTGTTTCTTTTTAATTGTGTAGAATGAAGTTGATGTTATCGAGTGGAGAGTGAAGAAACTTAATTGAATGGAATAAGTTTTCAATTAATCATGTTATTTATGGATAATTTGGATTTGCTTCAATTTTCTTGAGTTTTCTAGATTGGTGTTGAACAATTTGTATAATTAATTTGTGATTTGCTTGAATTTTCTAGAATGGTGTTTTATATATGGATAATTTGTATTGAGAGATTGATATTTGACTTTAATTTTTATAAGAACTTGTTATTGTAAATTTTTTACGACAAAAAACCCGTGGGTACCCATGAACCCGCGGATACCCAGCGGGTTGGGTTGGGTTTGAATTTTTCAAACCCGGTGGGTTTTAGCCTAGGTTTTTTTCATGGATAAACCCATGGGTTTGGTTTTGGGTTTGACAAAACCCTACCCAACCCGACCATTGCCAAAGGGGGTTTTCTAACTAGAAAATACAAGACCTAATCAACCCAATTGACCAATAACCTTATTCTCTCTCTCATCGATCTAGTTTCCTATCCTCTACACCTGACCAACCAATCCCTAAAACAGTAAAGCTTCATGTTATATGAAACTCTCTACACATCTCTTTCCAAAGGTGATACATAGTGCTCCAAGGTATGGATATGACACGAAAAATTAAATCTCAACCCTTAGATCTGGTTCACTAAAAGCTAAAATATAATATCGAGTTACACATTTGTGCAAACCCTTATATACAATTTCCACTTAAGTGATATAGCTCTCATTATGAAAGTTCATTGGTACTCAACCATTTTACTCTATGTAACAATAATCACAATAATATTTGGGGTGTGCCTACGGTGACATGCATGTCACGGACTTGCACTTTCCGGTCGACCTCAGTTAGGATTAGGTCGACCTCATTTAGAATTCGGTCGACCTCATATAGGATCCGGTCTACCTCATTTAGGATTCGGTCGACCTCATATAGGATCAGGTCGACCTAACCTGTTGTTTCAGTGTAAAAACAGTTCATGGTGCCTACTTTGGATATTCATATCATACAATTGGCTAGATAGAAATTGAAGACTAATGACTTGTTTTGAAGCTGGAGTGTCCCTCTATATATTGAAGTTATTGAGAGCTCGATAGAAAGTCCAGAAGACCATTTTTGAACCTCATCAAAAGGCTATGCCAAAACTGGGAAACTTCCTAGAAATGGCTAAGTCTGGAAATGTGTTTGTGAAACCTATTTTGGAGCTCAATTCGAGAAGCATGAATGCGAGTCGAGTCTAGGAGCCTCTACCACGTTAAATTAGGTATGTTTTTATACAATTGTCTCATTTTACAAAAGCTAGTAAATTATAGTTTATAACTAGTCAATTGAATTACCAATCTGACAATCTCGTATCAAAGAGCTTGAATTGACTCAAGACAGATCAATGCAAAACTCTCCTGTGAAATTAATCAATCCAAAGTTTTTGTTTACAAACCAGCCAATTTAATTATCTCAAAATGACACAATTATGCGAAAGTATTGCCACGAGTAGGGGTGGAAATCGGTACGGTAGCGGTTTCCCAATATCAAATACTGAAATCTCGAATACCGAATTACACTCTAAAATCAATCACAATCTCAATCCCTAAATAATTTCGGTATCCCAATCCCAATCCCTAAATCTTTCGGTATCTCAATCGGTACTTCTGTATCTCAATCGCTATTATCGAATACGAATTAATTACCATTGCAATTAATAATTAAATATATAAATTAGATTTGATTGTTTAATATAGAACAAATGAACTAAGCAAAAAGACTTGAGTTTGACTAGCGTTAGGATATGGATAAGGAGAATGGAGGTGATGTGACATCTCAAGTTTTTGTCATTGGTAATCTTCAATTTGACGAATTGGAGGCTGAGAGAAGACTAATACTAGTGTTTGCTTTTTGGTGTTATAAAAATAACAAGAGTTTGGTGGTTGAGAGTCGTGTAGTAGCGAATGAGAGAGACTAGTTGAGAGGATAAAATACACACTAGATTATATTTCGATATTGTTTGGTATTTCGGTATATACTTATCTCAATCCCGTAATCCCTAATACCAAATAACAATTGAAATTGAATCTCAATCCCATAATCCCTAATACCAAATAACAATTGAAATTGAATCCCAATCCCATATTCCCTAATACCAAATAACAATTGAAATTGAATCCCAATCCCATAATACCTAATACCAAATAACAATTGAAATTGAATCTCAATTCCAATCCTAATTCCAAGAAATTATACGTGTATTCGGTAATATTGAATATAGACAAATTCGAAACGATTTTCAATATATTTCAAATACTAGTACCAAACTTCCAATCCCATCGACGAGGAAAGAATTCTAGAGGGTTCCAGTCCGCTCCATTCATCCATTGTATTTTAGGACAAAACAAAAGAAACGGTAATTGCAATTTGCAGGGGATGGACGGCGTGGATCTGGTGGAAGCTTCAAGAGTCAGCCAGGATCTCTCAACCCTTTTTTTCTGCCTCCATCCTACACGGCTGCCAGCCCTGAATCCATCTTTGTCATAAACCTCTCCTCCGGCTCCCCCTAAACCTCTGGGTAATCTTAGTCTCCACTCAATCTTTCTTGTGCTTCCCCATTTTCCAAGGCCGCAATTCAGTTACTTGCATGTGAAATCGTTTTGCACCACCAGTCACTGCGTTTATTTGCTTCAGGAATCACCTGCTTGCTTTGCTTCTGTATTTGTGTTGTATTCTGGTCACGGATGTTGTCCTTCCTTACCTTACGTGACAGTGACATGCTTGCTAGCCCTGGTTTTCCTTTCTACGTCTACCTCAATTCCGCTGTTGCTTATTTTGTCTCAAAAGGATTGGCATCAGCCTTTTTCTCGTAAAGGTTTTAGGATCTCTTTGTTCAGCATTTTTCTCTCTTACTGTTGCCGAGGGATGATTCTCAGTCGCTTAGCATTTGCCTGCACTCCACTTCTAATACGAGGATCTTCTCTGCTGTTGCAGATAAGATGGCTTCAACCTTCTCTACCATGTCCTCCGTCGCTGCCTTGTCTACCCCTAGCGGCCCCGCTATGGACAAGAGACTACCTTCTCCTTCAAACAAGTTGTCTTCACTTGCTTCCGTTTCCGGGAGCTCATTCGGGAGAAGACAAAATGTTGTGTTGAGAAATTCACGTTTGCCTATGACTTGTAAGGCAGCCAAGGACTTGCATTTCAACAAAGATGGCTCGGCAATTAAGAAGCTGCAGGTGTGTGTTATCATTTTCCCTATACTTGCACGGACTTTTAAGGATTCAAGGACATGTCTTCTGGGTTGTGCTTATGTGGTCTTGGATACCTCTTATCCTCGTTTATTGCGACATTGCAGTCTGGTGTGAACAAGCTTGCTGACCTTGTTGGTGTTACTCTGGGACCTAAAGGCCGCAACGTTGTTCTAGAGAGCAAGTATGGCTCGCCGAAGATTGTTAATGATGGTGTAACTGTTGCCAAGGAGGTAAGCTACTTGTCAATGGCTTTGCCGTTTCTGCTTTCAGTTGGCCTTTTGATGTTATACTGACCTGAATTCAACTCTTTTGTTCAGGTCGAATTGGAGGATCCAGTTGAGAACATTGGTGCAAAGTTGGTAAGACAGGCTGCTGCTAAGACTAATGACTTGGCTGGTGATGGCACAACAACATCTGTTGTCCTTGCACAAGGCCTTATTGCTGAAGGTGTTAAGGTCTGTTTGGTTTCCTGGTGTTGATTTTCATTTTCAATCTAGTTTTGCTCGACCATATACCGACTTTTGAGCACCTTTCCTAACAGGTAGTGGCAGCTGGTGCAAACCCCGTGCTAATCACTCGTGGCATTGAAAAGACTACCAAGGCTCTTGTCAATGAACTGAAGTCCATTTCAAAAGAGGTAATGTGGATTGATGCAGTTGGCTTGATGTCCACTTTGTCTTGGCGTGCTTCAAGTAAAAACAAGTAGTGATGATTCCAGGTTGAAGACAGCGAACTAGCTGATGTTGCTGCTGTTAGTGCTGGCAACAACTATGAAGTAGGGAATATGATTGCTGAAGCAATGAGCAAAGTTGGTCGAAAGGGAGTTGTGACTTTGGAAGAAGGGAAAAGTGCAGAAAACAATCTCTACGTTGTTGAGGGAATGCAGTTTGACCGGGGTTATATCTCACCTTACTTTGTAACCGATAGTGAGAAAATGTCAGTTGAATACGATAGCTGCAAGGTATTCAGGTTTACGATTGCCTGAACAAGAATATTGAGACGCGTGTAAGGTTGAATAACGGTGTTACATATGAGTTCTTTTGTGCTGCAGCTGCTTCTTGTTGATAAGAAAATAAGCAATGCGAGGGATCTTGTTAACATACTGGAAGATGCAATCAGAAGCGGATTCCCGATCGTGATAGTCGCTGAAGATATCGAACAGGAGGCTCTTGCGACACTTGTGGTGAACAAGCTTAGAGGGGCACTTAAGATTGCTGCTCTGAAAGCTCCTGGGTTTGGAGAGAGGAAGAGCCAGTATCTTGACGATATTGCTATTCTTACTGGAGGTCAGTTTAAGTCCTTAGTGTTAGTTTATTCTTCTTGCTAACTGCTAAGGCTGTTATTATATCAATTATTTTGAGGAAGTGTGGATTCCATTTATCAGGAACTGTTATCAGAGAGGAGGTGGGCCTTTCATTGGACAAAGTTGGCAAGGAGGTCCTAGGAACTGCTTCGAAGATTGTCCTTACTAAGGATACTACGACAATTGTTGGGGATGGGAGCACCCAGGAAGCAGTAAACAAGAGAGTTGCTCAAATTAGAAATCTCATCGAGGTTTATGTTGTTGCCAACTTCTCAATGCTGTCCTGCTTTGTTTTGTATATCTGTTCTTTAATTACTTGAGAGAGATCAACTGTTGCAGGCTGCGGAGCAAGATTATGAGAGGGAAAAACTTAACGAGAGAATTGCAAAGCTGTCTGGTGGTGTTGCAGTGATCCAGGCATGCCTTCGATTAGTTTTCACTTGTACTTGGATCATTGTAACCTCCCCTTGCTGTGATTATTATGATAAAGTGTATGTTGCTGATAGGTTGGAGCGCAAACTGAGACGGAGCTGAAAGAGAAGAAATTGAGGGTTGAAGATGCTTTGAATGCGACTAAGGTATTGTGTCTTTTACCAAAAGTGCTCTTTGCATATCAGATAACTGGCTTAGGAGTTGGATATGCTAATGTTTCGCTGTGGGGCTATATTTCAGGCAGCAGTGGAGGAAGGTATTGTAGTTGGTGGTGGATGCACTTTGCTCAGACTTGCATCTAAAGTAGATGCTATTAAGGACAGCCTTGAAAATGATGAAGAAAAGGTAGACTCGGCTAACTTAGTAGTGACAATCTTGTATGTGGAAGCCCCCCTAGTTTGCAGTCTGGCTGAATAGTAGATGTTTGCTTACTTTGGCCGTAGGTTGGAGCTGATATCGTGAAGAGAGCTCTGAGTTACCCTTTGAAACTTATCGCCAAGAATGCAGGAGTCAATGGCAGTGTAGTGAGCGAGAAGGTAATATAACAATGTTGCACCTTTGTTTACTTGGGGCTATGATACCATGAAATGATTGAATGCTGATGTGTGCATGTAACACAATGAAATACAGGTGCTATCAAGTGACAATCCTAAGTATGGGTACAATGCTGCAACTGGAAAGTATGAAGATCTAATGGCGGCTGGAATCATTGACCCGACCAAGGTGGTGAGGTGCTGCCTCGAACATGCCGCCTCTGTGGCCAAGACGTTCTTAATGTCGGACTGTGTAGTGGTTGAGATCAAGGAACCCGAGCCAGTGGCTGCCGGCAACCCCATGGACAATTCAGGTTAGCGGCTATAAGTGAACATCTCATCGAATTCTTGGTTTTTGAAGAGCACTTGCTGATGTAGTTAATGGTACTTACAATCGGTTGCGGTGTTGCTTGTTTCAGGCTATGGGTACTGATGATAGTAAGAGATCCGGTTAGAGGAAAAAGAAGCAAGAGCAGAGAATCATAAGTGGCACTGTAGTGGGATGGACCGAGGGAGTTTGGCGCTTCAATGAATGTACATTTTATGATATATATTTTATTGCAGTGGCGGCAGAGTAGTGTCCGGTGTATGGGCAAATATGCACACAAACACTGCCACTAGTTGTAGTAGTTGGGCACTGAATTTTGTAGACGTTTTCAGTTTTAATACATGCTCATTTTACTTTTAATTGCTGGGTTTGGACTGCCAAACCTGTTAGTTTCCAGGTTACCCTTTCTATTAGAATGCTGCTGTGTTCCTACTGATCCCACAACTTGTTTTTTATTGTTCTCGAAAGGATGTGACAACTTCAAAGTCCGAAGCTGGGTAACAATTTCGGCGCCACAAAACACAAATTACATAGAAGCAGCAGAAAATCAGCCGACACTCGTAAAACTGCAGTTTGGTACCGATTTTGAAAAAATGAGATGAGCAAAACGAAAAGAGGATACACAGAAGCAAAACCATAAACTTGAGTTGCTCCCTCTACTATTTCACAAGTTGTTTGTAATATATTTGTTGAAGCCCTCTTCCCGTCCTGCCAATCTTGTCTTTATACAAAGTGCAGAGTGCTTTTAGTCTTTCCTAGCATGCCAACCACAAGGCTAAAGAAACTGATGCTGTAGGAATCCGAGGTGAGCTGTTGGTTATTTGCTCTTGAAACCAAAGAGGGACTTGATGGCATTGATTGCGTTCTCATTGATGAAGGATTCGTCAAATCTCTTGATAAGAGGATCAAAGCCAGGGGATGCTCTCACATTAGTCAAGTCTGGATCTGTCCTGATTCTCTGCTCGAACAAACAAAGAAAAAGCAAGCAGCAAAATTAGTACGAGTAGGTGTTGATGTTGACTCTGAACTTCATGTTGTCGAGAATAGCCCTAACCTTGAAGTCCTCGAACCCGGATTTCATCGCTTCCTCAAGGGCAGAGAGGCCAGCTTGGACCTGGTCGAGCTTGGAGTAACAGCATGCAACATTGTAACTGGCCACAGCAGCTTCATCTAGCTCCGGCTTAGACCCCAACACCGACTCGAACTTCTCCAGTGCCTCCTCATATTTCGCCTCCCTGCAAATCCCATCAGCATTAGCCTTTGCCTCAGTTTCTTCTATAACTGAAAGGTTTCGAAAGCAAATTCTAGTGACTGTTATTGTTGAACAATTGGTTTAAGCACCGAGTCACAATCGACCTGTATAAACCTCAAACTCATTGCACAGAGAGTGTGTTGATCTGTTATCTGAAATTGACATTCGCATTAATTGGTACTTGGCATTGTGGGTTTTACTTGTAAAGTTGGAGACCGACACGAAGATCGTCTGCTCTTTGCTGTTTCTGCTCCATTTTCTTCATGTAGTTTTGGAGCTGCACATTACCATCAAGACAAGGTATTGAAGGGAAAAGGTTGAGTGGAAGATTAGCTAAACCTTGCTCAAACATATTCGACGCATAAATGATTGGCTTGGCTTGGATGGCAATAACAAGTCACTCACTTGAATCTCTCTAACTTTGTTGCTCACAACACCAGAGTTCCTCTCAGCTCTTATGATCTCCTTCTCCGTTAACTCCCCCGAGTAATCCGTGCTGCCTGCCAAACAAAGCAACGGTTACGATTGATATTGGTGAGGAATACTTTCTTTAGATTGGTCCTGGTGATTCATCACACATTTCGTTGTCGTTGATGATATATGCAGTCGTACATACCATATCGCTTCTGCATACGCATAAGCAACGGGCCAATTCGTTGGCGAATGGTGTACATCGTCCTCCCGTACTCTGCCGCCGGCCATATCTCCGTCCCAAATACGGCGCTGCATACGCCGGATTCCACACAATACCATTTTTCCTAATCACAACATTTTTCTTCATAAAAGAAACGGCTCAGTATCCCACTATATCAGTATGAATTTATTAGGGATCACCTGGTAGCGACGACTCTGTCACCAACGGTGAAGAGGCCGGTCTTATCGGCTGCACCACCGGGGGCAATCGCGTCAATGTAAGTCCCACCGTCTCTTCCCTTGGCGAATTTCAGACCGTAGGGCTGAACCAGCTCCACTTCATACTCTTCGTACTTGTTGTTCGGTTCCTCGGCGTCTGATTGCTGCTGCTCCGCTGCTTTCGCCAAATGGGCAGTATTCCGTCTGCCGATTGGCGGGTTTTGATGGGTTCTTGCGATTCCCACCGCAGCGAAACTGATTCGAGAAATTGGAGCTTGGAGGAGTGGGAAGCGTGGGTAGGAGCTCCTTCTGCAACCTCTGGCGCCGCCATTGCTGCTGCAGCTAGTGGTTGATGGAGTTGTAGCTAAAGACATGACGGCTTTGCCGAAGAAATGGGGGAATGGGCTGCTAAAGGAGTGGGACTTCTAACAGGAAAGTAGTGGTGGGAAGAGGGCGGGAGCGGATCAGGACACTACAGCAAGGCGAAAATGTAAGAAGAAGAAGAAGAAGAAGAAGAAGAAGAAGAAAGGAGAGGCTGCCATTGCATTGGATTTCATCGTTTTCCCTTTGCAATAAATGACTAGTGGCTATCCTTTTCCTTTCTTCCGTTTCTACTTGCTAATTAATCCTACAAGCTGCCACGTGTTTGACTTCTGACGCCCACGCCCCTTTTAGCCGTTGGATTTCATCATATGTTGGGGTTTGTGATAGCATATCCATCCATTGCCAAGTAATACGTCACCCGTCCGTCATTGACTTGGTTCACTTTCACACCTTCTTACCAAAGTGAAAAGTCTAAATTGGTAGTATTAATATCTAAGTCTATTAACGTTTGGAACGTAAACAAAACGTGTCAAATCAAATCCAGGAACTAATTTATAAAAATCCCGGCGGCGAGGATGAAAACGCCTCTCCATCTCTCTCTCTCTCTCTCTCTCTCAAGCTCCATTTCGGAACCTGAAGCTGAGATCCCGGCGATCAGAGAAAGCCTAATCGAGCGATCAATCAATCGGAGAAGGTTAGATACTCAATTGGTGCTTTGTTTTTGCATGTAAATGTTTATCGGGTCAGTATTGAGTATACTGTGTTTTCGTGTTTTTGGTGAACTAGGATCTAAGGTTGCAATTTCACCGCAGTCGGTTTCTGGGTCGAGGATCGCTGCTTGAAATAAAAGGAAAAGGGGGCAAGAGAGGCTCGCTTGCTTTCTTGGTTTTTTATACAAGGAAAATCTGGCTTCATTTCCTTGATTAGTTTCCTCGGGGACGAATTTGTCTTCTTTTTCGTTTATTGTTTCTCAGATGGCTTCCGTTCTTGGGAGATATGGAAGAAAATGGTCATTGGGTTGTGTTTCATATCACAAAAACTACCTCCCTCGATTCTCCACAGTAGCCCATTCGGCTGTTCCTTCTGAACCCATTCAGCAGCAACAAGCTGGCAGATCAATGAACCTCTATTCTGCCATCAATCAAGCTCTCCATATCGCATTGGAGTCTGATTCTCGGTACTTACTTCGATGCTTCACTCCAAGATGCTTGGATTCTTTGTCTCATATCCCTGTGCTTTTGTAACTCGATTTGTCTCTGTCTCAGTTCTTATGTGTTTGGTGAAGATGTTGGGTTTGGAGGGGTCTTCCGTTGTACTACCGGATTGGCTGAACGATTTGGTAAACATAGGGTATTCAACACCCCACTTTGTGAGCAGGTATGCTTTCTTCTGATGCGTTTCTCCTCCATTTCCCACCAGCCTCCATTGTTGCCGTGGAAAATGTGTAGTGCATCGCTTCTTTTGGCTTTTGTGTAGGGCATTGTTGGATTCGCTATTGGTCTGGCAGCTATGGTATGTCTCAGTTCTCAATCCAAGCTTTGCAGAAGCTTTTGTTACCTCGCCTGTGATAGCTCATAACAAGATTGTTCTCTCTTATTTAGGACAATCGAGCCGTAGCAGAAATCCAGTTCGCAGATTATATTTTCCCAGCTTTCGACCAGGCAAATACTCTCGTCCGAACGCTTTAGTTTTCCCCACTTCCTCTACAATGTCCTCTTAGCTAACCTCGCAGTTAACTTGCCAGATTGTTAATGAAGCCGCAAAGTTTAGGTATAGAAGTGGAGGCCAGTTTAATTGTGGAGGTATGGAACCAAATTGCTGGCTACTTATTCTTCAGTGCGTACTTGGCATCTTGACGGTTACTTTAGCTTCCAGATGATGACAATGATGATGACGGCTCCTCTGGCTTTCCCAGGTTTAACAATAAGAGCGCCATATGGAGCAGTGGGTCATGGCGGACACTATCATTCACAATCCCCTGAAGCTTTTTTCTGTCATGTTCCTGGTATAAAGGTATATCTGCCTTTCTACCTCAGCTGTTGTTGATTGTTTAAATGTTTCTTCGACCTCAGAAATGGAGGAGTTCATCTACTGCAGTGCTTCTCCCTTGGGGACTAAATTTGAAACTGAAGAGTTTGTCCATACACTTTGGCCTTTCTCCAGTATATCCTCTCTCTCTTTTTTTTTTTTTTTTTTTTTTGTTTTGCTTTAGATTCACAGCTGATATCGTGATACGCTTAGTCAAGTTTTCTTGTAGGGGAGTGAAAATACTTTTGCTTTGGTTTCAACATGAAAAACTTCCTATAATTGTTCTCCTGCGAATCATACTCGAGCCAGCTCGACTGCAGCGAATTCAACATGTTCTCCATTCAATTAAATTCATACTTGGTTCTTGACTAGGTGGTTATCCCCCGTAGCCCCAGTCAAGCAAAAGGATTACTGCTTTCAAGCATACGGGACCAGAATCCTGTTGTGTTCTTCGAACCGAAGGTACTATTTCAGAGACAATTATTTTGACGGTTTGCTTGTAATGTGTAACTGATTCACTGAAGGAATTATACCTACATTTGTTTTGGATATCAGTGGCTTTATCGGCTATCTGTAGAAGAGGTTCCAGAGCATGACTATATGTTGCCTTTATCTGAAGCTGAGGTATGCTATGCCTTGCATTGCACAGGAAACCTCGTACTGTGTTTTTCTATGTAATTTTTACAGATAAAAGTATGTTTACTCAGGTGATTCGTGAAGGCAGTGACATAACACTTGTCGGCTGGGGGGCTCAACTTTCCATCATGGAACAGGCCTGTATCGAGGCAGAGAAGGTGACTGATTTCATGAGCTACCCTATGCTTACTTTGTTCACATTGTCAAATGGCCACACTTCATTTAACCTCAAGGGTGGTCCTAGTAATATGGGGATTAAAATATCCACCAATCATGGGTTCGGCTCTTGGGACCAACAATCATCTGAAAAATGGTCACGCTTCACTTATGTGGTCTAACATGTGCTGTTCAATGATTCAGGAGGGAATTTCTTGTGAATTGATAGACTTGAAGACCCTAATACCTTGGGATAAGGAGACAGTTGAGGCTTCAGTTAGCAAGACGGGGAGGCTACTCGTACGTGAGATTTAATACTGATAACTATTTATTTAACTGGAAAGTGGGCCTGTGGTTAAGATGAGAGGCACATTTTGTTGGTTGGTTGACGAGTAGGTGAGTCATGAAGCCCCGATTACTGGAGGTTTTGGTGCTGAGATCTCTGCGTCAATTGTAGAGCGTTGCTTCCTAAGGGTGAGCAAGCACGAACACTTAGTTCTAATTACTGCTGTGTCATTATTAATAACAACCGTCTTTGTTCCTGTGGGGGGAGTTTTACTAGTTAGTTGACTGAACGAATATGGCAGTTGGAAGCTCCAGTGAGCAGGGTTTGTGGGCTGGACACACCTTTCCCTCTAGTTTTTGAACCGTTCTACATGCCAAACAAGAACAAGGTAAGCAGAAAATATTGGTTCCCTAATATCTGTGTAACTACTTGGTGTTCAAGTGCATCATGGCAGTTGGTGTTTGGGTGATAATGCAGATACTGGACGCCATAAGATCAACTGTGAACTATTAGCTCCGGACGCTATGTGTGATAAATAAGCAACACAGCTGAAGTAGGAGACGAAGACATAGAACCCAACAAAAGAAGAGCCCAATATTCTGATTTCATTGTGTTGTGCTTGGGAAGGTCAATAGCTTTAGTGCTTGTATTTGTGCGATGTGCCTTGTTGTTGGATCATGTATTGATTTCAGTAATGAAGTTGAACCAACTACTGGACGAATTCTTGAAAACATCATTTAGATATGGTGACTTGATTGAACCGCACTTGAGATTGATTTTTTTGCACAATCACTTTTAGTGTGGGTGACAGTTGACACAGTTTGAGTATCTGTGATTTTGAGAAAGGAAAGCCAAATTTTGAAGGCCACAGTGAGGAGTAGGGTTGCAAACGAGCCGAGTTTTTGCTTAGCTTGAGCTCGGTTCGTTTGTAAATTTTTCAGCTCGAACTCGAATTTTGATAATTCAATTCAAGCTCGGCTCGATTAAAAATAATCCAGCTCGAGTTTGATTCGGTAGGGCTCGGTAAATGCTCATTAACATAACTTGTCAAGCTGAGTATAAGTTTGGTTCAAGATGAGCTCGATCCGAAATCATCTACACTATTTATAATCATCAACACATATTATCCTCCATTAATATATAGTAGAGTTTTGTAAACTTTTCTCCATTTCAAATTTCCTGCAATGAGAGTGAAAGTAGGAAGGACAATTTTGTCTTTACAATTAATTATTTATTTCATAAAAAATAAATATCAAGACTCGAACCTGGGTCTCTTCAGACAAAGATAGCAATCATAACCAATTATACTAAATGTATTTGTTGTTCCTTTTTTAATACAAAACATACATGTATTTAAACGGTGAAAAGCAGAGAACTTTTCCATCATGATTAACAAGTGCACTAAGTCTACTATATGTATTTTCATGGTGCTTAATACTTCAATTTTCATAGAACAGTTTCATTTAATTTTATCAATTTTAGAATTCATGCTCTCTCTTTTATTTTCGCTAAAGGTAAATTGGTAATTGGCTAACATGGAAGAAACTATTTCCTTTACTATGTGTTGTGTCCTTGCATTTTTCAATATAAATTTAAATTTTGTGCCTTTTTTATCTTTGTTCTTATCTCTTTCTAATTTTCTCTGAAATTCCCTCCATCGTGCAATAGTTTGCGTGCTTTCACTTCCCAGTATAAGGAGCATTTGAAAATCAACATTCCGGTATCTTTTGGCACTGCAGTTTTATTCTTGGGGATTTAAGCTGGGCAAGTAGAAGATTTCAACTCTCATATCAATCCATGGCCAATAGAATGGAGTTCAATCAAGTAGTTATGGCATGGTCTTGATTATCTCGCTCGATTCCTCTGCACTGGCATCACCCAATGGTTCTGTCTCTCCCCGATGTACTATCAGAAGAACTATTTTGTTGCTTCTATTGCTGAAGGCAATGTTTGATCAGTTATACCTTTCGCCTTTACTCCTCTTCCTATACCAGCATTGACCTTTAATAGGTTTTCGATTTCCGATCAAGGTTAATCGCTTTACACATGTAAGTTATTCGTTTCTTCTCTATGTCTCATGGTTTTATCTTTCTGATTAATAACAAAGAGACTTTTATTTTCACGTTGTCTCATGAGCACAACATGCATAATATCTATTTATTTTGATCTTATTGCCTGAAACGATGTTTAAAGCTCGGGGGATCTCCTGCGTGATTTCTCCTCTTGCTGTTATTAGGTTTCAACTTCAATGTGTTTCTATCTTCATATTAGGTTCATCGAATTGAACTGGCAGGCTATTATTTCCTTCCCGATTTATCTAAGTTTTTTGTTTATGAATGATTTATTAAATATAGAAAATGAATTTGAACAATGGTTTGGGTACTATATTTGTTTGTAAGCAAAAGAGATGTTTGTGTAGAACATGGCAGTTGTACTTTGCTAGAGCCCTGTCCACTTTGTTGTGTGTTTCCTGTACTTTATTTTTGTTCTTTGCTTAGCTATTGAAATAATAAAATAAGATCAAAATGAGAAAAAAGGTTTCTTTTCAATTACAATATTTCCGCTCATATTTGATTTTGTGATAACTAATGTTCTCCGCAACCATAATTTTCCTCATTAATTTTTATTCTTATCTCACTAATCAAATTTTGATATTGTTTTAGAATTAGTTAGAAATTGAGCTTTCATGCAACACTCTAGGAGTTTGAGGTGTTGAACTTGGAGTAGAAGAGTTAGGATTGAGTTTGAAAATGAGAGTGGTGGGGGGGGGGGGGGGGGGGGGGGGGGGGGGAGAAAAATTCAACTGTAGCATGTTAAGGCAGAGAAGAGGGAGTTACCGAGGGTAGTGATCGAATTGAGGAGGGTGTTGAAAGACGCGGAAGCAAAACTGGAGCAGTTAAAGAGAGAGAAGTGAGAGATGATGAGGATATTAATAAAAATGGAGAGGGTATTGAAGAACATGGAAGTGTACTGAAGCATGTGAAGGCATACAAGGGGGGAGATGAGCATATTGATGGAATTGGAGATGAGTTTTGGTTTTAGCGAACTTATTACAACTGGCCTTGAGGAAGATGAGTTGGCAAAACACAGGAAGAGGATTGAGGAGTTGAAGAGCGAGTTGACAAAAACCCTAATTGGAAGAGAAATTGAGGGTCGCAGAGAGAAGGTCCATCAAAGTAGCAGAAATGGAGTTGCAGAAGGAGGATTAGAAAGTGAATGTTTGGTTGAAACATATGCTTCTTGAGATTGAAGATAGAGTAGATAAAAATTTGGTCGTTCAATGGAGAGTGGTCGCTATTGGATCATTAGGTTTATAGTTTTTGCAGCTACCACAACCTATTTCTATCTTAAAACGAGTAATCATTGATTGGTTTAATGAAGTAGGTTGATTCTTTATTCAACCTACTGGAACTGATAGATAAGGACTGTCTAATTTTGCGTCATATTACTTTGATCGAGTCTATTAGTATATTGGAGGTAACCCAATTTACTTTGATCGTTTGCTCTCAAGTTTTGATGGTCCACTCTTAGCCGAGTTGTTAGTATATAGTTGACTTGAACCTACAACTATCCATTTCTTTTTTATTAGTGGCATATTGCCCCCAAAATGAGAGCATTGAACCATTTACGTAGGATTGTGAGATTTTAGATTCAGTTTCAAACTATCTATGGGTCGTGTGGGAATTCCAGTGAGCTTTTATAATCTATCTTTCTTAACAATCAACTAACCAATAACATATTAACTGGGCTTAATTATCATTAGGAAAATGAGATCAATCATACATTTTTTTTGTTTTATTTTCTCAAATGATGATGATATTTCTCTGAATGTTCGACCTATATATTCTTTCTTTATGTATCATCTCGATCGAAAGATTGCCAATAAAATTAAACAGGTTGATAGACTTTAACGTAACATAAAAAGTATAAAAAATAAAATATAAACATTCCGGCCAACGGGCCGGATTATAAGCTAGTTAAAATTTAAAGGTGAAAGCCAAAACCCATTGTTCCATTTCGAATTTCGTGCATCGAGAGTGAATGTAGGAAGGACAGTTTTGTCTTCACAACTACTTATTTCTTTCTTATTTATTTATAAAAAATGATAGTTGTGGTGATTTGAACCATGACCACTTTAAAGAGAGGGAAGAGATACAACCAATCACACTACACATATTTGTTGTATCTTTTAAAAGAAAAACATACACAAACCTAGCATCTGAAAAATCATAGGACTTTTACAACGGTTAGCTAGCCACTAAATCTCCCATAAGTACTTATTTGGCGATTTGATACTCTAGTTTTCATATTTTGATTATTTTAATTGCAATTTAATACTTAATTTGCGTTTCTATGTATATTATAAATAGTGGATAACTTTAAAATTGTAACTCGAATATAACTTGGTTGCATATCAAATTGGAGTATTAAGTAGGCCGAAGCAATGCCAAAATTTTATTTTAGTATTAATTTTTAGAATTACTATGAAGAAATCATATTGTTGTGTAGAGTATATGAGAGGGGTTTTTTAACGTTTAAGTTGGGTTAACCACTAAGTTTTAAACATGTTCCTAATTCGGTGTGATTAGATCCAATGATCATTGTACGAGATTGGGTTTAATTATTGGTTCATTTCACCATTTTTTGAAATGTTAATGAATTTTTAGGGCAATAACATATGTCTACGTCTTAACACCTACACAGAATACAATATATAAGATTGGAATGAGAAAAATATTATCCGATTTTAAATTCCTACAGCGAGATCCAAAATATGAATGACATATTTTCTTAAAGAGAAGACAAGTATTGAAATTTGAACCAATGTATCTTAAAGAGAAGACAAGAATTATAAGCATGATTTTCAACCCATTGGTCGAATAAGTTTAGCCCAAACCGAGTATCTGTTAGGATGCTTGAGGCCGAGTTGGTTATCAACCCAAACTTGGCCGAACCAGGAAACCCACTCAAATTAGAAAATCAAGTCGATTCAACTAACTCATATGAGCACTGAGTCACTTCAAACCGACATCATTTTCAACAAATCTAATCACTAGCATTGTTGACATGTCGTCCTTTTCTTTATCATAGACCCATGCAGTAGCGTACATCAACCCCTCGTGTTCGGTCATCCCATAAGATCTTCTTCTTCCTTTAGTATCGGGAGGCAACAATACAAACCTCAACCATCTCAAAAGCTAACATAGTTCCTCGGTAGTCAATTCCATTTTCCTTCCAGCCGCAAGGTCACAGTGCCAATGAACCACATCTCATATGAAGAATAGCAAAAAGACTAGACGAACATGTATTTGAATTGAGACTTTGTGTGATTAACATATACCAATCTCCTCATTTGTATATACACTTGAAATTGAATTGGAGAATAAGAGTAAAAAAACATTGAGAATGGAATATGATATGCAATGCAAAGAAGGAAAGAAAAAACTAGAAAATGAAATGGAAAAAGATAAAAAAAAAAAGGAAAAAATTTAGAATTAAAGAGTAATTTCCAAGGGAGAAAAAAGTATAAAAAACACAATCCCAATGAATAAGTTATTAAATCATCATTGTATCTAAATTTATCATAGAAATTTCATAAATATCTAAGCATAATACATGTCGAACCAATAAAAATTTTCATATACCTGGGTAAAGCTAGGCTAAACCAAGTTAATCTAATTTGGTCATTAATTCTTGACCCACTTGCTTAAATAAGTCATTGGTGGAAATTGAGTGTCAGCCTTGGTCATAACAAATTAGACTAAACAAATTTATTGTATATTTCTTAATGGGTTATAGGTATAATATACTCCTCTAATATATATATATATACTCTCTTATTCACTACTAACCTTTGGAAATGCATGCCAAATTAGTTTCCAAGCTGTTTGTGCAAGACTAAGAGTAGGAGGTTTGCACGGTAATTCAGGGGACTTAATATAGATTCGACAAGAGAACATATACCCCTCTTGATTCCAGATTAACCTTCGAATGTATAATGAGGGAGAGATTACAATTGGGAGATTACAAGGGGAAAATATAGGGAGAAGGGTAGAGAGAGAACTCCTAAGTCCCCTTTCTAAGTGTAGTAAATGTGGTATTTATAGCCTCTTTGGATTTGGTGGGCAAATCCAGATGACAAGACAAGGTGGTCA